CATGCAGTCGTCAAGTTTCCGACAGCGAGGGAAGTACTGTCTAAACTCTTTAGACCAATTTTTTTATTATTGCTGTAGTGGACGCAAAACTGATGACGTTTAATATGTAGGCTGTCCGTAATGCACCCATAACCGGATCTTCTAAAAAATATGCATTAAGTTTTTCGAATGAATAAATAAGTATGAGTATTTTAGTTGGCTGTGTAAACAGGAAAAATTATCAATTAAGCTTGATATTAATTATAGTACGTATCAAGGAGCCTATTTCCACGTTCGTACTGATAAGGATGACGCACACTCATGTCGATAATAATTATCGTCCACTTTTTTGCTAAATTAAATTGCTAAGTATACAGCGCATTCACAGTAGTCCAGTGTTTCGACCAAGAATCCGTAACTACTAATTATTATTTAATAATTATTAATATTTAATTACAATGCGAAAATTGTAAAATTAAAATATCGAAAAAGTGAGATCCAAAAATGTAAAAATTCTCAAAATTGAAGTTCTAAAAATTCAAAATTTAAAAAATTTAAAATTCGAAAAATGGAAACATTGAGAAATCGGAGCTTCTGAACAGTCTTTAAGTCGGGAAATCGAAGAATTGAAAAATAGGGAAATCGTAATAGCCCAAAATCGAATAATTAAAATTTGAAAAATTTAAAAATTAAATTAAAAAAATCAGAAATTGATAAAACTGAAAAATCGAAAAATTTAAAGTTCAAGAAATCAAAAAATTCAAATACCAGAAAATTTGAAGGATCGAAAATTTGAAAAATTCCTAAACTTAAATATCAAAAAACTGATCAATCGAAAAATTGAAAAGTCGAAAAATCTCGAAAAATTGAAATCAAAACCCTGAAAAATTGAAAAATGGGAAAGTCAAAATATTGAAAAGTCGAAAATTTAGAAACCCAAAAATCGAAAATTTGAGAAATCGAAGAATTGAAATTTCCAAAGTCTGAAAAATTTAAAAACCGAAAAATAGAGAAATCGAAAAGTGGAGAAGTCGAGAAATCGACAAACCGAAAAATCTAAAATTAAAATATCAAAAAATTGAAAAATCGAAAAATTGAAAAAACGGCAAACAGACAAATGTCAAAACTTTGAAATATCGAAAATCTTTCGAATTTTTTGAATCTCTGGAATCTCCAGTCTCGGAATTTTTTAAATTTCTGAAACCTTTTGAACCTTTGTAACTTTAGAATCTTCAAAATTTTCGAACATTTCAGATTTTTTGGGACCTTCAGCCTTTGAAATTCTCGGATTCGATCAATTTTTTGAGTTTTCGTAACCTTCAGAATTTCCAGAATATTCAGAATCTTTAGAATCGCTGGAATCTCTGGAACCTTTGGAATTTCTGAAATCTTTGAAGTGACTGAAATCTGTATATTCTTCAGAATCTTCGTAACCTCAAAAAATCTAAAAGTGAAACAATTGAGAAATCCAAAAGTAAAAAATCCAAAATTCGAAAAACCGAAACGGAAAAAAATTGAAAATTCTAATATTGGAAAATCGAAAATTCGAAAATCGAGACTTCGAAAAATCCAAGAATCGAAATATTGAAAAATGGAAACATGGAGAAATTGAAAACTCAAGAAATTGAAAAATCGAAAAATTGAAAAAATTGAAAAAACCAAAAATTGAGTAATCAAAACATGTAGGAGTAGAATTTAAAAAACGAAAAATTGAAAAATGAAAAACTGAAAACTCAAAAATGAGAAATCGAAAAATCTAAAATTTAAGAAATCAAAAAATTAAAATATCAAAAAAATTGAAGAAAAAAAAATCCCAAATCTCAAATTGATCAATCGATAAATCGAAAAAATTAAAATTCGAAAAAAAATTGAAGAAATAGAAAAATCCTAAAAGTTGAAACATCGAAAATTTGAAATCAAAATATTGAAAAATTGAAGAATCGAGATATCGAAAAGCAAACAAATTGAAAATTCCAATATCGGAAAACCGAAAATCCGAAATTTCGAAAATTGAATGTTTGAAAAATGTAAAAATCGAAAAATCGAAAAAATTCCCAAAATAGAAGTTCTAAAAATTCAAAATTTAAAAAAATTAAAATTCGAAAAATCGACACCGAGAAATCGGAGCTTCTGAAAAATTTTTAAGTCGGGAAATCGAAGAACTGAAAAATAGGGAAATCGTAATAGCCCAAATTCGAAATATTAAAATTTGAAAAATTTAAAATTCAAGAAATCAAAAAATTCAAATACCAGAGAATTTGAAGGATCGAAAAACTGAAAATTTCCTAAACTTAAATATCAAAAACTGATCAAACGAAAAATTGAAAAGTCGAAAAATCTCGAAAAATTGAAATCAAAACCCTGAAAAATTGAAAAATGGGAAAGTCAAAATATTGAAAATTGGAAAATCGAGATTTCGAAAAATCCAAAAGTCGAAATATAGACAAAACGAAATTTCGAAAGTCTGAAAAATTTAAAAACCGAAACAGAGAAATCGAAAAGTGGAGAAGTCGAGAAAACGACGAACCAAAAAATCTAAAATTTAAATATCGAAAACTTGAGATCCAAAAATGGAAAAATTCAAGAAATGAGAAAACTAAAATATCAAAAAATTGATAAAAACGGTAAACAGAAAACTTTGAAATATCGAAAATCTTTCGAATTTTTTGAATCTCTGGAATCTCCAGTATCGAAATTTTTTAAATTTCTGAAACCTTTTGAACCTTTGTAACTTTAGAATCTTCAAAATTTTCGAACACTTCAGATTTTTTGGGATCTTCAGCTTTTGAAATACTCGGATTCGATCAATTTTTTTAGTTTTCATAACCTTCAGAAGTTTCAGAATATTCAGAATCTTTAAAAAATAGAATCTCTGGAACCTTTGGAATTTCTGAAATCCTTGAAGTCACTGAAATCTTTATATTCTTCAGAATCTTCGTAACCTCAAAAAATCTAAAAGTGAAACAATTGAGAAATCGAAAAATCTAAAATTTAAGAAATCAAAAAATTTAAATATCAAAAAAATTGAAGAACTGAAAAAAAAATCCGAAAATTTAAATTGATCAATCAAAAATTGAAAAAATAGAAAAATACCAAAACTTGAAACATCGAAAAATTGAAATCAAAATATTGAAAAATTGAAGAATCGAGATATCGAAAAGGAAACAAATTGAAAATTCCAATATCGAAAATCGAAAATAGAAAAAAATCGCAAAATTCAAAAGTCGAAATATAGACAAAACGAAATTTCGAAAATTGAAAATTGGAAAAATCTAAAAGCCGAAAAATCGAAAAATGCAGAAGTCGAGAAATCGACAAACCGAAAATTTTAAAATTAAACTATCGAAAAATTGAGATCCAAAAATTTAAAAATCGGAAAATTTAAAATTCGAAAGTTCGAAGCATGGAGAAATTGGAGTTTCTGAAAAATGTTTAAGTCGGGAAATCGAAGAATTGAAAAATAGGAAAATCATAATAGCCCAAAATCGAAAAATTAAAATTTTAAAAATTTTAAAGTTGAATTAAAAAAATCAAAAATTGGTAAAACTGAAAAATTGAAAAATTTAAAATCCAAGAAATCAAAAAATTCAAATACCAGATAATTTGAAAAACTGAGATACCGACAAATTAAAAAGTGGAAAAATCTGGAAAAATTGAAATCAAAACCCTAAAAAATTGAAGAAATGGAAATTGAAAATATCGAAAAATCGAGAAATGGGAAAATCAAAATATAGAAAAATCGAAAAGTTAGAAACCCAAAAATCTAAAATTAAAATATCGAAAAAATTTAAAAATTAAATTAAAAAATTTAAAAATTGATAAAACTGAAAAATCGAAAAATTGAAAAGCCCTGAAAAATTGAAGAATTGATAATTCGAAAATCAACCTTTGTAACTTTAGAATCTTATTTTCGAACACTCCAAATTTTTTGGAACTTCAGCTTTTGAAATACTCGAAATCTATCAATTTTTTGAGTTTTCATAACCTTCAGAATTTCCAGAATATTCAGAATCTTTGGAATCCCTGGAATCTCTGAAACCTTTGGAATTTCTGAAATCTTTGAAATCATTGAAATCGTCATATTCTTCAAAATCTTCGTAACCTTGAAGTTTTCAGATATTTTGGAATCTTCAATCTTTCAAATACTGATAATCTTCAGAATTGTGAGAATCTTTAGAACCATTAGTGTCTTCATTCAGAATCGGTAGAATCTCCAGAATCTTTCCCATCTTTACAACCTATAAAATTCTAAAGTTGCGGAATATCCAGAATTTTTGAAATTTCTGGAATATGCCGAATCTTTGAAAACTTTAATGTCCTCAGATTTTTTTGAAATCTTGAGCCTCAGAATCTTTAGAAACTTTAGAATCTTTACACACTCGTAATATTCGAAATCTTTGGAACTTTTAGAATCGCTGGAAATTTGAAATACACAGAATTTTTAAAGTTTCTGGAATCTTTTTAACCTTTTCAATCTTCAAAATTTTAAGAATCTTCAAAGTTTTTTTTAAGTCTTCAGTCTTACAAATATCTAAAGTTGGGTAGAATTTGATATGCTCGATTTTCCGACGTAATGTACGCGTAAAGATGGCAACCAATAATTTAGTTTTAATAAAGATTCAAAAGATTTAAAAACTGACTAGTCGTGAAATCGCTGATCGAAAAATTGCAAAATCTAAAAATTGAAACAATTTAGTAAAAATTAAATTGTGTATCAATATAAAACCCAACTTTCGTTCTTCATAGCCAATAAGAATGAATGATCAAAACGGAAGTGAGGTGGGTGGGCGAGGCCACTTTTTACTTTGATTTAATCTTAGATTCTACAATTTGTCAAAATAAGGCAGTGAAATAGAGAAAAGAGGTGGGCGGGGCTGAGTTTAGCTTTTTTCTAAAGGGTTTTATAAGCAAGCAGTAGCCCCGCCCACGTAACCCCTCTTCATTTCAATGACTACTCTTAATATTGTTGCTAGTGACGACAATTTTGATTTTTTTTGTTGTAACAAGATTATTTTTTGCAGATGATGTCAGCATATCAGAAGCGCACTCATCACCCATGCTCGCGTCCAGAAACGGGAGCAAAAGCGCCACTCCTAGTCCCGTCGCACCCGGCTCGAGGAGGGGCACCGGATCGGTCTCCAGTCAGGATTGGGCCAGCGTCACCGCCGACGACGACATCGACAGGCTGGTCGTGATGCACCAAAGAAGCAGTCTGTCGAGTCTGGGGGTACGTGAGATTTCGAAAAAATTTCATTTGCCTACGCCACCTCGGTTCAAGTTTCTGCGTTCTGAGGTTAATAGACGATGCCTAATACAGATTAATTAATAATAATTATATTTGAATTTCTTGAAAATGTAACATGTTCTTTTTAAATTGTCGTAAGTTGGAAAGGCGATGGGAAGTCGTTTATAAAAATTAAGAAGAGAGGAGGGGCAAGTACTGACCCTTGAGATAGTTCTATATTCATGTGAAGGCTGTGAAGTATTTTGTTTAAATTTCTCTATCTACATACATTGTGTTACACAGATAAGATCTAAACAGTGTATGCTTATAGATTATTCCCGCTTAAGTTGGTAACTATACGATCCACTAGCAACGCGACTCTATTTCAAAAATAATTTTAATTTAAATTATAGAACATTTTGCTGCAGGTGGACTTAAAAATTATTAAAAGAGGTTTTAAATTAATTCTGAATCATAACGTAGTAAACAAAGGAAAATTTTAATTTGGAAAATATAAGAGGAAACGAAAAAAATTAATTTTATCAGGAATAGAAGCGGAATGACAAAGAGTCTCATGTAATATGCATTGCTTAGGGATTTTGTGTAGCCCCAATTCAACATGAAACACATAGAAAACGAGTGATATTATAATTAACCTTAAAAGGATTTTTTTTGTAAATGCTCAAAAAAACGGGAGTATTGTGACGACACAAAATTTGGAGGCTGGTTTGGATTACTTTTTTTGTAAAAAGAATGTTCTTCTGAGAAATTACTACGCGCTTTAGCGTTTTAGTTCGGAGATAAATTATTAAATTTGTAATACACTCCAATATTTTATTAACGTTAACTGTAAAAATCTCGTCGGAATACAGGCTATCTATTATTTACATTTCTTACGAAACAAAGGATACTTCGGAGAATTTCAAACTACAAACATTAGATAAACTATATATTTACAAGCAACCTATCAAACTTATTTTGTGAAGATTAAATTTTATCATCGCAGAAAATCGGTGCCGTTATCCAAAACTTGAAACTCCTAGTTGGCAAACAAAGTATGAGCCAATCGCGAAGAAGAAAAATGAAAAAATAAATTTAATCTCGCTCTTACAGTAAATAAAATGAGCGATTAAGTAGAAAACGGGGTGGGTGGGCTGGGCCACTTTTGAATTATTTTAAGCGTAGATGCGACGAAAAACTGAAGAATGAAACTGAAAATTTGAGAAAAGTAAAAAATAGAATAGTAGAAAATCGAAAAGTAGAATAGTTGAGCAATGGAAAAGCTGAACAAAAAAAGTAAAAAAATTGATAAGTGTAAAAACTGAAGAACGGAAAAATTGAAAAATCGAAAATTCAAAAACCCAAAAATCGAAAAACCGAAAATCCGAGAAACCAGAAAACCGAATAAGGGAGAAATGGAAACATCAAAATGTTGAAAAGTAGAAACACCGAGAAATCTAAAACCCAAAAAATGGAAAAATCGCAAAATTGAAATATTAAGAAATTAAAAAAAAAACGCAAAGTCAAAAAATTGAAAAATCAAAAAACGCGAAATCGTGGAATCTAAAAATTCAAAATTTAAAAATGGAAACATCGTGCAATCGGAAAATTGAAACATCGAGAAATCGGAATACCCCAAAATCGAAAAATTAAAATTTGAAAAATTTGACTTAAAAAAAAATCGAAAAATTTATAGAACTGAAAAAACCAAAAATTGAGAAATAAATAAATGTAGAATTTAAAAAACGAAAAATTGAAAAATCGAAAACGAGAAATCGAAAAGTCTAAAATTCAAGAAAATTAAAATATCAAAAAAATTGAAGAACTGAAAAATTAAAAAAAAACCCAAAACTCAAATTAATCAATCGAAAAATTGAAAAATTGGAAAGTCGAAAAATCTCAAAAAATTGAAATTGAAAACCTGAATAGAAGATTGAAAATCGCAAAATGGAGAAATGGGAAAATCGAAAAGGAAACAAATTGAAAATTTAAATATCGAAAAACGTAAATCCAAAAAATCAGAAAACCGAAAATCTGAAAAATCGCAAAATGCAAGAGTCGAAATATAGACAAAACGAAATTTCGAAAATTGAAAGTTTGAAAAATCTAAAAGCCGAAAAATCGAAACATCGAGAAATCGAAGCTTCTGAAGATCGAGAAAGTCGAGAAATCGAAAAATTGAAAAATAGGGAAATCAAAAAATCGAGAAATCGAAATAGCCCAAAATCGAAAAATGCAAATTTGGAAAATTAAAAGAATCAAAAATTGATAAAACTGAAAAATCAAAAAAAATTTAAATCTAAGAAATCAAAAAATTAAAATATCAAAAAAATTTATTAATCGAGAAATCGAAAAATTGAAGAAGCGATAAGCAGGAAAATCCCAAAACATTGAAACATTGAAAGACTAAGATACCGAAAAATTGAAGTCAAAAAATCCTCAAAAACCTGAAAAATTGAAGAATTATAAATCTGAAAATATCGAAAAATCGAGAAAAGGGAAAATCAAAATATTGAAAAATCGAAGATTTAGTAACCCAAAATTCGAAAATCGAAATTTCGAAAAATCCAAGAGTCGAAATATAGACAAAACGAAATTTGGAAAGTTTAAAAAACATAAAAACCGAGAAATCGAAAAGTGAAGAAGTCGTGGAAAAATGGACAAACTGACAAATCTAAAATTAAAATACCGAAAAATTGAGATCCAAAAATGGAAAAATTCCCAAAATTGAAGTGTTGAAAAGTTGAGAAATCGAGAAACATAGGAATCGAAAATTGAAAATTAAAAAATGCAACATTTAAAAAACGAAAACTTGAAAAATCGAAAAATTAAAGAAATAAATAAAGGGAAATTAGAACATACAAAGATCGACGAACTGAATAACCCAAAATTGAAAAATTAAAAACTGAACAGTTTAAATCTAAAGAGGATCGAAAAATTGAAAAATCCGAGAAATCGAAAGTTAAAAATCCAAAATTGAGAAAAGGAAAAAATTGAAAAACCAAAATATTGAAGAATCGAAAAATTGAAAAATCAAGAGATTGAAAATCTCAGTACTGAGGAACGTGGAAAAATTCGGAACTCGAAAAAATGAAAAATCAAAAAAAATTGGGAAATTAGGAAAACATTTAAATTTAAAGAAAACTGTAAAATCGAAAAATCGAAAATCCGAGAAACCAGAAAACCGAAATTTCGAAAATTAAAAGTTTGAAAAATCTAAAAACCGAATAAGGGAGAAATGGAAACTTCAAAATGTTGAAAAGTAGAAACACAGAGAAATCTAAAACCCGAAAAATGGAAAAATTGCAAAATTGAAATATTAAGAAATCAAAAAAAAAACGTAAAATCGAAAAATTGAAAAATCCAAAAACGTGAAATCGTGGAATCTAAAAATTCAAAATTTAAAAATGGAAACATCGTGCAATCGGAAAATTGAAACATCGAGAAATCAGAATACCCCAAAATCGAAAAATTAAAATTTGAAAAATTTGACTTTAAAAAAAATCGAAAAATTTATAGAACTGGAAAAACCAAAAATTGAGAAATCAAAAAATGTAGAATTTAAAAAACGAAAAATTGAAAAATCAAAAACGAGAAATCGAAAAGTCTAAAATTCAAGAAATCAAGAAATTAAAATATCAACAAAATTGAAGAACTGAAAAATTTAAAAAAAATCCAAAACTCAAATTGATCAATCGAGAAATTGAAAAATTGGAAAGTCGAAAAATCTGAAAAAATTTAAATTGAAAATGTGAATAAAAGATTGAAAATCTGAAAATCGAGAAATGGGAAAATCAAAATTTAAAAAAATTGAAGAAACGGGAAATCGAAAAGTAAACAAATTGAAAATTTAAATATCGAAAAACGTAAATCCAAGAAATCAGAAAACCGAAAATCTGAAAAATCGCAAAATCCAAGAATCGAAATATAGACAAAACGAAATTTCGAAAATTGAAAGTTTGAAAAATCTAAAAGCTGAAAAATCGAAACATCGAGAAATCGAAGCTTCTGAAGATCGAGAAAGTCGGGAAATCGAAATAGCCCAAAATCGAAAAATGCAAATTTGGAAAATTAAAAAAATCGAAAATTGATAAAACTGAAAAATCAAAAAAATTAAAATCTAAGAAATCAAAAAATTAAAATATCAAAAAAATTTGAAGGATCGAAAAATATAAAAATCCCAAAATTCAAATATAAAAAAATTTATTAATCGATAAATCGAAAAATTGAAGAAGCGATAAACAGGAAAATCCTAAAACATTGAAACATCGAAAGACTGAGATACCGAAAAACTGAAGTCAAAAAAATCTCAGAAACCGGAAAAATTGAAGAATTATAAATCTGAAAATATCGAAAAATCGAGAAAAGGGAAAATCAAAATATTGAAAAATCGAAAATTTAGAAACCCAAAATTCCAAAATCGAAATTTCGAAAAATCCAAGAGTCGAAATATAGACAAAACGAAATTTGGAAAGTTTCAAAAATCTAAAAACCGAGAAATCGAAAAGTGAAGAAGTCGTGGAAAAATTGACAAACTGACAAATCTAAAATTAAAATACCGAAAAATTGAGATCCAAAAATGGAAAAATTCCCAAAATTGAAGTGTTGAGAAGTTGAGAAATCGAAAAATATAGAAATCGAAAATTGAAATAAGTATTAAAAATTTAAAAAATCATAAAAAACGTAACATTTAAAAAACGAAAAATTGAAAAATGCACAAATTAAAGAAAAAAAGAAAGGAAAATTAGAACATATAAAGATCGAGAAACTGAAATAACCCAAAATCGAAAAATTAAAAACTGAAACGTTTAAATCTAAAGAGGATCGAAAAATTGAGAAAAGGAAAAAATTGAAAAATCAAAATATTGAAGAATCGATAAATTGAAAAATCCAGAGATTGAAAATCTCGGTACTGAGGAACGTGGAAAAATTGGGAACTCGAAAAAATGAAAAATCAAAACATCGAGCATTTGGGAGATTGTAATATCGGAAAATCAAAAAATTGGGAAATTGAAACAGCCCAAAAATCAAAAAATTAAAAATTGAAAAAATTTAAATTTAAAGAAGATTGTAAAATTGAAAAATCTAAAATTTAAAAAACAAAAAATTGAAAATTCAACAACTAATAAATCAAAAACGAGAAATAGAAAAGTCAAAAATTCAAGAAATCAAAAAAATTATATTTCAAAGAAATTGAAAAAGCGAAATACTGAAAAGTCCCTAAACTCAAATATCGAAAAATTGGAAAGTCGAAAAATCTCAAAAAACTGAAATCAAGAACCTGAAAAATTGAAAATTTAGAAACCCAAAAGTTGATGAATCGAGAAATCGGAAAACCGAAATTTCGAAAAATCAAAAAATCCAAGAGTCGAAATATGGACAGCGAAATTTCGAAAATTGAGAGTTTGAAAATCCAAAAGCCGAAAAACGGAGAATTCGAAAAATTGACAAATCGAAAGCTGAAAATCGTAAAAAATGTAACATTTAAAAAAACGAAAAATCTAAAAACTGAAAAATTTCGATCCTGAAATGTGGAAAAATTGAAAAATCGAAATATCAGCAATTGGAAAATTGAAACATCGAAAAACATAAAAATCGACAAAATGAAATAGGCCAAAATCGAAAAATTGAAAACCGAAAAATTTAAACCCGAAGAACCTCGAAAAACTGAAAAATCGAAGAAAAGTGAAATTGTCGAGAAATCAAAAGGCTGAACAATAGAAAAAGAAAAATTGAAAAATGGAAAATTGAAGGACTCAAAAATCAAAAAATCAATATTTCAAAAAAATTGAAAAAACGAAAAACTGAAAAATACTTAAGCTCAAATATCAAAAAATTGAAGAAGCGATAAACAGAAAAATCCAAAAACTGAGATATCGAAAAATTGGAAAGTCGAAAAATCTCAAACAACTGAAATCAAGAACCTGAAAAATTGAAAATTTAGGAACCCAAAAATTGATGAATCGAGAAATCGGAAAACCGAAATTTCGAAAATCGAGATTTCGAAAAATCAAAAAATCCAAGGGTTGAAATATGGACAACGAAATTTCGAAAATTATGAGTTTGAAAATCAAAAAGCCGAAAAACCGAGAAATCGAAAAATTGAGAAATCGAAAACTGAAAATCGTAAAAAATGTAACATTTAAAAAAACCAAAAATTGTTAAAAATCTAAAAACTGAAAAATCTCGATCCTGAAATGTGGAAAATATGAAAAATCGAAATATCAGCAATTGGAAAATTGAAACATCGAAAAACATAAAAATCGACAAAATGAAATAGGCCAAAATCGAAAAATTGAAAACCAAAAAATTTAAACCTGAAGAACCTCGAAAAACTGAAAAATCGAAGAAAAGTGTAATTGTCGAGAAATCGAAAGGCTGAACAATAGAAAAAGAAAAATTGAAAATTGGAAAATTGAAGGACTCAAAAATCAAAAAGGAAATAAATTGAAAATTCGAATATGGGAAAACCTAAAATTCAAGAAATCAAAAAATTAATATTTCAAAAAAATTGAAAAAACGAAAAACTGAAAAATACTTAAGCTCAAATATCAAAAAATTGAAGAATGAAAAAAATTGAAGAATCGATAAACAGAAAAATCCAAAAACTGAGATATCGAAAAATTGGAAAGTCGAAAAATCTCAAAAAACTGAAATCAAGAATCTGAAAAATTGAAAATTTAGGAACCCAAAAATTGATGAACCGAGAAATCGGAAAACCGAAATTTCGAAAATTCAGATTTCGAAAAATCAAAAAATCCAAGGGTTGAAATATGGACAACGAAATTTCGAAAATTATGAGTTTGAAAATCAAAAAGCCGAAAAACCGAGAAATCGAAAACTGAAAATCGTAAAAAATGTAACATTTAAAAAAACCAAAAATTGAAAAATCTAAAAACTGAAAAATCGAAATATCGAGCAATTGGAAAATTGAAACATCGAAAAATATAAAAATCGAAAAACTGAAATAGGCCAAAATCGAAAAAATTTAAACAATGGAAAAATTAAAAGATCGAAAAATTAAAAAATGGAAAATTCAAAAAGGAAATAAATTGAAAATTCGAATATGGAAAAATGGAAAATTCGAAAATCACGATTTCGAAAAGTCCTAGAATCGAAACAGAAAAAAACGGAGACATCGGGAAGTCAAAAAGTGGCGAGATCGAGAAATCGCCAAACCGACAAAATCTAAAATTAAAATGTATCGCAAAATTGAAAAATTCAAAAATAAAAGAAATCCCAAAATTGCAATGTTTAAAATTCAAAAACTCGAAAATTGAAATATTAAAAGATTAAAAAATCGTAAAAAATGTAACAGTTAACGAAAAATTTAAAAAAAATTAAAAATTGAAAATCAGAAAACGATAAATCTAAAAATAAAAATTTGAAAAATCGAAAAAATCAAAAAGGAAACAAATTTAAAGTTCGAATATCGAAAAGCCGAAAAATTGGAACATCGAAATATTGAAAAATTGAAACTTTGAGAAGTCGAAACATCAAAAGATCGAGAAATCAAAAAGTGAAGAAGTTGAAAAATCGACAAACCGATAAAATCTAAAACTAAAATATTGCAAACTTGAAAAATGGAAAAATTCCCGAAATTGGAAATGTCAAAAAGTTGAAGATTTGAAAACTCGGAAAAACGAAAAATTGATATATTAAAAAATTTGTAAATCGTAAAAAAATGTAATATTTAAAAAAAATGAAAAATCAAAAAACTGAAAAACCAAAAAACGAGAAATCGGGAAATCTAAAGATCAAGATTTAAAAACAAAAAATTGAAAAATCGATACACAAAACAAAAATTTGAAAATGGAAAAATCTAAAGACCGAAAAACATCGAGAAATTGGAAAATTCAAACATCGAGAAATTGGAAAATTCAAACTTCGAGAAATATAAAGATCGAGACATTGAAATAGCCCAAAAATTGAAATAGCCCAAAAATTGAAAATTGAAAAATTTAAATTCAAAGAAAAATTGAAAAATCACAAAACCTGAAACTTCCATTTTCAAAATTTCATAGAAGTATTTTTTTATAAAACTTGACACATAAACTAAAATTTCACGACAATCAGTCCAGTAATTTCGGATATTGCTCTTAAATTTCACAAAATTACGAGTTGTGTTATCAGAAAATAGTGGTGAATCAGAGTTAAATGCTTCGGGTTCATTACACAGGCATAAAACCGATTAGATTCTCATGTGTACACTTGTTTAATACACATTTTTAGATTTAGTCAGCATTTATGTGCCTGTGAGAGCTGAGCAGCTGAGTTAAATTTCGTGAAAAAGTGAAAGTACGCCCCTGGGCCGGGATTTTACCTGATACTGGTACAAGTTACTTAAACTTGTACAATCCTCCAAAAATTAAAAATTTAACATAAAGAAAAAAAGTTTTCAGAATATCACTAAACCATCTCAAAAAACCACTAACTTTCCCCCATTTTCCAGTTGCGTTCCGACTCCATGGCCAGCGTGTACTCCGGTGCCGGCGAGGGCAGATACGGCACCGTGGCGGTCCGAGGCCAAGTCGAGTTCGGCCTCCAATACAACTACAAAGCCAAAGCGCTCGAAATCCACATCAAGCAATGCAAGGACCTAGCTCCCGTCGACATCAAACGAAACCGCTCTGACCCCTACGTCAAAGTCTACTTGCTCCCCGACAAATCGAAAAGCGGCAAGCGGAAAACGAAAGTCAAGAAGCACACCCTGAACCCGGTCTTCGACGAGACCCTCAAGTTCCAGATATCGCTGAACGAGCTCGAGACGCGGACGCTGTGGCTGACGGTGTGGCACTCGGACATGTTCGGCCGGAACGACTTCCTGGGGGAGGTCATGATGACTTTAGAGAATAAAGTCTTCGATGATCCCACCCCCATGTGGTACAACCTCCAGGAAAGGGTGAGTGAGGGTGGAGTGAGTAGGTTGGGGGCTGACGGTGAGGGTGTGTTGCAGACTGAGCCCTTCGACGACATGTTATCATTCAAGGGTGATATCATTGTGTGTCTGAAGTTTGTTCCGCCGGATATGACGGTGCACAAGAAGGGGAAGAGGTCGAGGGGGATGCTGCACGTGCTGGTGAAGGAGGCGAAGTGTCTGACGGCGGTGAAGGCGAACGGGTCGTCGGATCCCTTCTGCAAAAGGTGAGCGCAGGCTTGGTCGTGCTAGAATCCTCTTTACTTAAATGAATATAATTCTAATAATAATAATAATAGTAATACTTTATTTACGACAGTAGCCATTTACAAAGTTAAATTAAATGCGAAATATAGAACAGAATGAAATATGACAAAAAAGAACATCAAACATAGTAGAATAAGCTTTATGATGTTGAATAAAATGTGTTTACCGTAAACCGCCTTCTTTTGGACTAAATGGTAATAGTAGGTATTATTTATCAACTGTAGAGAAATTTGACAAAAATTGAAGCAGATCATGAACATAGTGTGAATAAATTTTTGGAATTTGCAAGTTTTGACCTTTAAGTTTTTAAAATTTTCGATTCTTGAATTTTCAATTTTCTTTTGTTTATATCTCAGTTTTTCGATTTTTCAGTTTTTGGATTCACGAGTTTTCAATTTTTCGTTTTTTGGATTTTTCTTTTCAGTATGTCAAGTTCTCGATTTTCAATGTTTCAATGATTCAGGTTCGATTTTTCAATTTTTCGTTCCGTTAGTTTCTGAATTTCCCCGTCCAAAACTTGAAATTTTCAATGTTTAAATTTTTAATTTAAATTTTACATTTTTTCAGTATTTCGATTTTCGGCTTTTGAATTTTTCTATTTTCAGTTTACTTATTCAATTCTTGATTTTTTAATTTTTCGATCTTTCAATGTGTCCAGTTTTCAATTTTTCAATTTGTCGAGTCTTCAGTTTTCCAGTTTTCAATTTTTGAATTTGTCATTTCTTCAGTTTTGGATTTTTAACTTATGCACTTTTCAATTTTTGAAGTTTTTAATTCTTCAATTTTAAAGTTTTCGATTTTTTAATTTTTATGTTGTTGATATTTCAGTTTTTCGATTTTTCAGTGTTTTGACTTTCCAGTCCTCGATTTTCCAATTTTTCAATTCTTCAATTTTCGATTTTTTATTAATCGATTCATTAGTTTTTGGATTTTTCAATTTCGGACTTTTCAGTTTTTGAAATTTTCGAATCTTCAGTTTTTCGATTTTCAAATTTCAATTTTCCTTTTTTTATATTTCTGTTTTTTGATTTTTCGGTTTTTGAATTCTCTAGTTTTCAATTTTTCGATTTTTGATTTTTCTTTTCAATATGTCAAGTTCTCGATTTTCAATTTTTCAATGATTCAGGTTCGATTTTTCAATTTTTCGTTCCGTTAGTTTCTGAATTTCCCCGTCCAAAACTTCAAATTTTCAATGTTTGAATTTTTCTATTTTCAGTTTACTTATTCAATTCTTGATTTTTTAATTTTTCGATCTTTCAATCTGTCCAGTTTTCCAGTTTTCAATTTTTGAATTTGTCATTTCTTCAGTTTTGGATTTTTCACTTATGCACTTTTCAATTTTTGAAGTTTTTAATTCTTCAATTTTAAAGTTGTCGATTTCTTAATTTTTATGTTGTTGATATTTCAGTTTTTCGATTTTTCAGTGTTTTGACTTTCCAGTCCTCGATTTTCCAATTTTTCAATTGTTCAATTTTCGATTTTTTATTAATCGATTCATTAGTTTTTGGATTTTTCAAATTTCAATTTTCCTTTTTTTATATTTCTGTTTTTTGACTTTTCAGTTTTTGAATTCTCTAGTTTTCAATTTTTCGATTTTTGATTTTTCTTTTCAATATGTCAATTTCTCGATTTTTTGTTTCATATTTTGTTATCGATTCTTCAATTTTTCATTTTTTCAATACATATTCGATTTTTCACTTTTTTGATTTTTACTTTTCAGTTTTTCGACTTTCAATTTACATATTTAATTTCGGATTTTTAAAATTTTCAATCTTTCAATCTCCCCAGTTTTTATTTTAGATTTTGAATTTATCGAGTCTTCAGTTTTTGGATTTTTAATTTTTAGATTTTTCATTATTTCGATCTTTAAATTTTTCGATTTTCAAGTTTCGAATTTTCTGTCTTTCAATTTTCCGTTTTTCGATTTTTCTGCACTTAGATTTTTAATTTTCCAATTTTCCAATTATCCACTTTTCAATTTTTGAATTTGTCAATTCTTCAGTTTTGGATTTTTCATTTTGGATTTTCAAACTTTAGATTTTTCCGTTTTTCAGTTTTCCTTTTTTTGAGTTTTCAGTTACATATTCAGTTTTCGATTTTTCACTTATCCAGTTTTCGATTTTTTAATTTTTCGGTTCTTCAGTTTTTTGAATTTGTAAGTTTTCGATTTTTCAATTTGTTTTTTCCAATATTTCAGTTAACTGATTTTTCAGTTTTTGGAATTTCTCGCTTTCGATTTTTCAATTTTTCAATGATTCAGGTTCGAATTTTCAATTTGTCGCCTTTTGAATTACATATGCAGTTTTCAATTTTTGAATTTGTAAATTTTTTAGCTTTTGGAAATCTCAATTTTCATTTTTTCAATATTCCAATTTTCAAAATTTTTAGGTTCTTCAGTTTTTATATTTTCAAGTTTTCAATTTTCAAAATTTTTAAGTTCTTCAGTTTTCAATTTTCATTTTTCGGTTTTCAATTTTTCGATTTTTCAAATTTTCGATTTTTGAATTTATCGAATCGTCAGTTTTAGGATTACTCAATTTTCAATTTTCAATATTTCAATTTTAAAATTTTTCCATTCTTTACTTTTTGGATTTTCCAGTTCACAATTTTTCGATTTTTCAGTTTTCAATTTTTGGATTTACCAGTTTTCCGATTTTCAAATTTTCCGTTATTCAGTTTTCAATTTCCAATGTTTCGTTTATTCCGTTTTCGATTTTTCATTTCTTTTTTTTTCAATACTTCAACTTTTCGATTTTTCATTTTTTTTCCAATATTTCAACTTTTTGATTATTCAAATTTTCGATTTTCCAATTTTTCGCTTCTTTAGTAAGCTTTTGGATTTTCTGTTTTCCAGTTTTTTGATTTTCAATTTTTCATTTTTTCAATATTCAAATTTTTCGATTTCAAGATTTTGTATTTTCCCGTTTTCGATTTTTCAATATTGTGATTTTCAGTTTTTTGGTTTTTCACTTATCTAGTTATTAATTTATGAATTTGTCGATTCTTCAGTTTATGGATTTTTCAGTTTTAGATTTTTCAATAATTCAACTTTCAAAATCTTTGGTTTTTGAAATTTGAAGTTTTCGATGTTCATTTTTTCGATATTCAAATTTCAATTTTTTTTTATATTTCAATTTTTCGGTTCTTCAGTGTTCCATTTTTCAATTTCTCATATTCCAGTTTTTGGATTTTCTGTTTTCTAGTTTTTTGATTTTTAATTTTTCAATTATTTAATTTTTCAGTTTTTCATTTTTTCATTATTTCAGTTTTCGATTTTTAAATTTTTCAATGATTCATGGTCAATTTTTGACTTTTCAATTTTTCAGTATTTAATATTTTTGATTTTTCGATTTTTCATTATTGCGATTTTCAATTTTTTGGGTTTTCACTTATCCAGTTTCAAGTTGTCGATTCTTCAATTTACGGATCTTTCAATTTTCGATTTTTCGGTAATTCAATTTTCAAAATCTTTCAGTTCTTCGTTTTTTGAATTTTCCAATTTTCGATGTTCAGTTTTTCGATATTGGAATTTCATTTTTTTTATATTGCAATTTTTCCGTATTCAGTTTTCAATTTTATAGTTTTTGTTTTTCAAGTTTTCGATTCCACAGTTTTTGTATTTTCTGGTTTTCGATTTTTCCAATTTTCAATTTTCCAGGTATCAATTTTTCAGTTTTTCGAATTTTCTATTTTCCATTTTTCAGTTTTGGAATTGAGTCGAGTCTTCAGTTTTTGGATTTTTCAATTTTCGATTTTTCGATACTTCATTTTTAAATTTTTTTAAATTTTCAGTTTTTGAATTTTTAATTTTTGAATTTTCCAGTTTTCACTTTTTCGATTTTTAAATTGTAAATTGTTAAGTTTCCGATTTTCAATTTTTCATTTTTCAAAACCTCATTTTTCGATTTTTCACATTTCGGGTTTTCCACGTTTCGATTTTCAATTTTTGTATTTTCCCGTTTTCGTTTTTCCAGATTTCGATCTTTAGTTTTTGATTTTTGAAGATTTCGTTTGTTCGACTTTTCGATTTTTCAAATCTCCATTTTTCAATTTTTGAGTTTGTTGAGTTTTCAGTTTTGGATTTTCCAATTTTATGTTATTCAGTTTTTGATATTTCATTTTTCAAAATCTTTAGATTCTTCGATTGTTTGATTTTTAGTTATTCGATTTTCGAATTTTCAGGTTTTCATATTTCAATTTTTCGATTTTTCAGGTTTTAAATTTTCCAGTTTTCAATTTTTCGATTTTCAATTTTTCATTTATTCCTTTTTGATTTTTTAATTTTTCTTTTTTCAGTATGTGTACCAGTTTTTCAATTTCTCAAATTCTCGATTTTCCAAGTTTCGAGTTTGCAATTTCCAATTTCCTAGTTTTGAGTTTTAGAACTTGCCAAATCTTCAGTTTTTCGATCTTCGAATTTTTAATTTTCCAATCTTCCAGTTTTCAATTTTTCGATTTTCAATGTTTCATTTATTCTGTTTTCAATTTTCCAGATTTTGATTTTTCGTTGTCCCAGTTTTGAATTTTTAAATCTATCGGGTCTTCAGTTTTTGAATATTCAATTTTTCGTTTATTCAGTTTTAGATTTTTCAATTTTACAGTTATTCAGTTTCCGATTTTTCAATTTGTTAATTTTTAAATTATCCAGTTTTTGACTTTTCACTTTTTAATTTTTTTACTTTTGAATGTTGCAATATCTGTTTATCGATTTTTAAAATTTTTAATTAATTAAATTTAAAAAATTTTAATTCTATTATTCAGTTTCAGATTCTTGATTTTGGATTTTTCGATTTTTCAGTTTTTAGATTTTTCATTGTGTGATTTTTGAATTTTTAGGTTTTTTACTCTTGAGTGTTTCGATTTTTTCAAATTTTCGTGTTTTTGGATTTACAATTTTTGATTTTTCAGTTATTCAGTTTTCGATTTTTCTTTTTGAATTCTTTCGTTTTTGAATCATTTCAATTTTTCTACTTTGCAGTATTTCAATTTTTAAATTTTTCGATTCTTGGATTTTTTTAGTTTTCGGTGTTTCGATTCGTCAATTTTTCAGTTGCTGATATTTTAATTTTACAATTTTGCAATTTTACATTCTAAATTTTTCAACTTTTGATTTTTTGATTCGTCGATTTGTCAATTTCTCGAATCCGGTTCTGGTCCCAGAGTAAAATTCAGAAATATTGGGTTCGAAATTCAGTTTTGTAAAAAAGTTCTAAAAATTGCCATATTTCGTAAATGGCATATGGGTGATTTTTGAAACATGGTGGAAACTTTCGAAAAAATAAAACCAAAAATAACTTATAGGTGCCGAAATTTGCAAAAAAATTGTATATTTTCGAAAATGGTCGAAATAAGGCCGAAAATTTCATAAGAGTATTGAAAATTTCTGATATTGAAAAAGTTCCCTAAACATCTAGGTCATTAATATATAGAATAAATCGTAACGGACCCATTGTAGATCCCTGCGGAGCACCACACATCATTAGTGGAGCAAAATTCCAAAAGTAAAGTTTCTTTATTAAAATTTGGTGCCACAAACTATCAAATTCCTCAAATAAATATAAAAACATCACCAAGCCCACTTGTTTCTCCTCAGCAATTAATATTTTTTTCATCTGACAAATTAACTCCATGAACTGTTGAAATTTCCACGACCGGTTTTAAAAATGCGTCTTTACAGCTATCTCCTGCCTGATAAAGGACGCAGTGCCAAACAGAAGACTCCGGTAGCGAAAAGAACTGTTAATCCAGTTTGGAACCACACGTTTATTTACGATGATGTCACACTTCAGGAATTGGCGGAGCGTTGTTTGGAGTTGACGGTGTGGGATCACGACCGATTAGCAAGTAACGAGTTCCTAGGTGGTGTACGATTTTCGCTGGGCACAGGTAGGTCCCCCTACTCCCAAAAACCGTAATTCCATTCCCTGCTTCCAGGTAAACATTACGGGAAGACCGTCGACTGGATGGACGCGACCGGGAAAGAGCTCACCCTGTGGAAGAGCATGCTCGAGAGGCCGAATTTCTGGGTGGAAGGGTGCTTGTCGCTGAGGCCGACTCTGGATACTCGTACATCATAACAAAATACTCAATCGCGCTGACATATCTAGGGTAACAAAGCGTTGCATTATTTAGTACTTTTCCAAATTTGTACATGGGTTTAAAATGTTTAATCATTTCATGATGTAAGTAAGTAAATTTTTACTAGTTATTTAATGTACACCTTAATATAGGTAACCAATTCTAACAAACTGATATATTTTCATATTATTAAATAAATAGATGTTTTGTACTGTGAGTCGCTGTGTTTTTTTTTTGCGTTTTATGGTTTCAAAATAATGACATTTAAGTATAGCGCGCAAAACAGTAACTTTTTTCGTGATTAAGTTGGCAATGTTATGCGGGCAGTTGAAACAAAGTGTCAGTGAACATTGTTAAACTTTGTTAATAATAATTAGCCCAGTTGAATATTTCCATCAATTTGCTCCTATATTGCTCCCTTTTGTGTTAAATTATCACCAAAATGTTGATTTTGTTACCAACCGACTGACGAAAATCCCTAACCGAAAATAATTTTTTCAGAACAAAACAGAATTTTTAAAATTTACTTTCAATGCAAAATAGTGTATTCAACTCTTTTCATAAGACGACTTTTGGCACTCGTTCTGTTTGGGCACTCCTCGCTGCGCTCGTCGTATATTTAATTTTATTTGTTTTTAGCGATTTATATTATTATAAAATTCGTAGTTTCTTATTTATTCATCCACACAGTGCCAAGATTACGTCCTGCTAATAAATAGTGTTGCAGTATTGTAATCAAGATTCACTTAGTGTGCTATTATCGATGAAAAAACTCTGAAAAAAAAAATGGCTGATAGGGTGTCGTCCAGAATTCTTTTTGTTCATTTTTCGGTTTTGATTTTGTTTAGACCGTGTGTGGAGTCTAAATTAGTTTTGTTTAAGTAGTTTATTTTGTTAAAAATAATTTGGTTTTGTACTTAAAAGTGAAAAGTGAGTGTTGTGATGTGAAGGGAAAGAAATCCGGATTTAAAGGGTAAGCGTTGCTTTTATTCAATGTATTATCTTATTTCTTCAGTTCTTTTATGTCACTTATCGACTTAATAAATGTGTTTGTTTCAACAAGAACTCAAATCTCGACAGATATTTCTGCTTTAAAGCTTTCTTAATACGTTTTTGTCAATGTTAATTATTTAAAAATTGAATTCAATTTTGATTTTTGTCTCAGTACGGACCGTCTTTACGTTTTAGGCATCACTGCAATTATTAATAACATAGAGTAAAATGTTGTACCTCGGTGGGATTCGAACCCCACGCCTCTCGCTCTCCGGGCAAGCATCCTAACCACTAGACCATAAGGCCACAGTATTTTTTTAATCTTACCTACTTATTAAACCTGTTATTAAAAATTAGTGTAATAAAACTCGTTTTCGAATTATTAAATTTTCCAGAATTGTTCGCTTCTTGATTTCAAATTTTAACACATTTTTCTATCTTTAAGTAAAATTCTTAATTAATAAATATAAGTCTTGTCTAAATGACTTTAAACCAGTTTGTTAGTCTGAATTTCGAATTTCTCAATTTTACTTTTTCTTTTTTTTTCATTTTTTCGAATGCTGTAAATTTTTCAGCTTTTTAATTTTTAAAATGTTCGATTTTTAATTTTAAACAATTTTCCGTTTTTTGATAATTCGATCTGATTTTTGAATTCCTGTGTTTTTCGATTTTTCATCTTCTGGGTTTTTAATTTTTCAGTTTTTCATATTTCCAATTCTTCAGTTACAATTTTTCAATTTTTTTCAGTTTTTCAATTTTACTTTCCGACTTTAAAATTATATTTTTCGAGTTTCTCGATTTTCCACATTTTAAAGTGTTTAATTTTCGAAAAGCTAATCGATTTGTCAGTTTTTTATTTCTTCGATTTCTTGGTTTTCAATTTTTCAAAGTTTGTGTCTCAGTTTTTTTTAATATTTCTCAACTTCTGAATTTTTGTATTATTTACTTTTTAGATTTAATTTTCAAATTATTGGAATTTTTAATTTTTCGAATTTTCAGTTTTTGATTCTTCAATTTTTCGGGTTTCTCGATTTATCAACTTTTGAATTTTCCATTTTTGATTCGTCACTCTGATTACTTAATTTTTCAGTTTTTCAATTTTTCAATGTTTCGTTCTTTCAATTTTGGAATATTTGCAATTTTTAGTTTCTTTAATAACTCAATTTTTAATTTTACAATTTTTAGATGTTTCCATCTTACAATTTTTTAATTTTTCAATCTTGAGATTTTTATTTTGTTCCAATTTCCAGATGTTTTCATTTTTCAACTTTTGAACTCTTCAATTTTTCGATTTTTCACCTTTTGAATTTTTCAAATATTCTATTTTCCAATTTTTTAATTTTCCAAATTTCCGATTTTTCATTTCTAAAATTCCCCAAATTTTTGACTTTTCATTTTTTCGATTTTCTCAATTTTCAACTTTTGAATTTTCCAGTTTCGATTTTTTTTTCGGTATTTCAACTTACTGAAACTTGTAATTTTTCGTTCTTTCCATTTTTTGTGTCTTGAATTTTCAGTTTCTAAATGCTTCGATTTTGCAATTTCTTGTTTCTTCAGTTTCTAGAAATTTTAGTTACCCGTTTTTTTTTTCAATTTTTTATTTCTTCGATTTCTGAATTGTTTAATTTTTGGAGTTTCCGATTTTTCAGTTTTAAAATTCCCAGAATTTTTAATTTTTGAATTTTCGATTTTTCATTTCTTCTGTATTTCAATTTTTGAAACTTAATTTTTCGTTCCTTAAATTTTTCACATCTTCAATTTTCGACTAATGAATGCTTCGATGTTTGCATTTTTTTTCTTCAGTTTCTAGAAATTTAAATTTTTTGTTTTTTATTTCATTTTTTCGAATGCTTTCAATTTTTCCTTTTTTCAAAAAAAAAATCATTAATTTAAAACATGTTTCAATTTTAAAAGCTTCAATTTTCGAATTTCTCGATTATTCAACTTTTGAATTTTCTATTTTAGATTATTCGATCTGACTTTTGAATTCCTGGATTTTTCATTTTCTGAATTTTTAATTTCTCAGTTTTTCATATCTATCTCCAATTTTTCGACTTCTATTACTTCGATTTTTTCAGTTTTACAACTTTTAGATCCGCTAACTTTTGGTTTTTTCAGTTTTTCGATTTTTGAATATTTGGATTTTGCAATTTCTTGTTTTTTCAGTTTCTAATACATATTTTAATTTTCCAATTTTTTTTCAATCTGGATTGTTTTAAATTTTTCATATTTTCGACTTTAAATTTAAACAATTTCCGAGTTTCTCGATTTTTCAACTTTTGAATTTCTAATTTTTTTGTTTTCAATTTGATTTTCGAATTTCTCAATTTTTGGATTTTTTAATATATCAACTTAACAATTTCTCCTACAGTATTCTAGGTACATATTTCTATTTTTATTATTTTTTTTTTGTTTTTAATTTAATGAAAACTTTAAATTCTTTATTTCTTCAGTTTTGAGTTTTCAACTTTTAATTTTTTTAAATTTTTGATTTTTTAATTTAAATAGTTTCTCGATTTTCCATTTTTTAATTTCTCGTTTTTAATTTTTCATTCTCATTTCCGCATTTCTCAATTTTTGGACTTTTACGTTTTCGATTTTTCCGCCTGTCAATTTTCCATTTCTCGATTTGCAATTTTTCAGTGATACAGTTTTCAATTTTCAAATTTTCACTACTTCAATTTTTTAAATTTTTCGGTTCTTCAGTTTTTGGATTTTCAAATTTTCTGTTATTCAGTTTTCAAATTTTCGATTGTTCGGTTTTTCGATTCTTCTGTTTTCGATTTTTGAATAATTCGATTTTTCAACTTTGGATTTTTTAATTATACAGTTTTCATTTTTTGAATTTATTGAATGTTCAGTTTATGGATTTTTCAATTTTCGATGTTTCAATAATTCAATTTTCAAATTTTCCGTTATGCAGTTTTCCATTTTTCAAATTTTCGGTTTTCCATTCTTTAATTTTTCAAAATTTCCAATCTCCAGGTACAATTCCCCACTTTTCGATTTCTGGATTTGTCAAGTCTTCAGTTTTCGAATTTTTCAAATTTTCGATTTTAAATTTAAACAACGTTCGATTTTCTCGATTTTACCATTGTAAAATCTAGAAAATTGAACATTTTTTCATCCAGCAATTTCTTCAGTTTCTAGATATTTTAATTTTATGTTGTTTTTTTTAATTTCTTGAAAGCTTGAAATTCTTCATTTTTCAAATTTTGAGTTTTCAACTTTTAAATTTTTCAAATTTCTTAATGTTTAGACTTTCAAGTTTTCGATTTTTCGGTCTATCATTTTTGGATTTTCAAGTATTTGATTTTTCCGTTTTTGAGTTTTCCATTATTCGATTTATCACTTATCCAGTCTTTAATTTTTTTATTTTTTTATTCTTGAGGTTTTTTGATTTTTTTTTGTCGATTTTTCAATATTTCAGTTTTGAAATTTTTGATTCTTCGCTTTTTGGATTTTCAAATTTTCGGTTTTTCAATTTTTGAATTTTTCGATTATTAATTTTCTGATTTTATATTTTCTTTCAATTTTTCAATATTTCATTTTTCAAATTTTTCATTTCTCCAATTTTTGGGCGTTAAGGCTTTTGATTAGTACCTTTTTATAATTTTCCATTTTTCGATTTTTCAGTTATGCAATTTTTCAATATTTAAATGTCTGAATTTTTCGGTTTTCAGTCTGTCAGTTATACAGTTTTTAATTTTTTATTTTTCAATATCTCAATTTTTAACATTTTTCGGTTCCTTAGCTTTTGAATTTTCAATTTTTCTGTTATTCATTTTTCAATTTTTCAGATCGACAATTTTTTCCATTTCCCAATTTTTGGATTTTTCTGCTTTCCGATTGTTGAATATTTCAATCGTACAGTTTTTAAATTTGTCGACTCTTCGGTTTTTTACTTTTTCGGTTTTCAATTTTTCAATATTCCATTTTTCAAAATTTTTCGTTTTATCAGGTTTCGGATTTTTAAACTTCAAAATTTTCTGTTTTTATTTCAGTTTTTCGATTCTTCCATTTTAGATTTTTCAATATTTCGATTATTCAACTTTTCGATTTCGACTTATCAATGAGACAGTTTTCGATTTTTGAATTTATTGATTGTTCAATTTATGGATTTTTCAATTTCCGGTGTTTCAATATTTCAATTTTCAAAATTTTTCGATCCTCGAGTTTATGGATTTTCAATTTTTCAGCTTTTGGAATTTCCATTTTTCTATTTTTCAAATTTTCGGTCTTCAACTTTTTAATTTTTCAAATTTTTGAATTTCCAGGTTTCGATTTTCAACTTTTCCGTTATTTAGTTTTCCATTTTTCAAATTTCGATTTACAATTTCTTGTTTTTTCAGTTTCTAGGTATTTTACTTGTTTGTTTCTTTTAATTTTATGAAAAATTTAAATTGTTCATTTCTTCAAGTTTTGAATTTAACTTTTGATTTTTTCAAATTTTCAAATTTTAAATTTAAACAGTTTTTCGATGTTGAATTTTTATTTTTCGAGTTTCTCGATTTTCAGTTTTTAATTTTTTGTGTTTAATTTCTCATTCTCATTCTGGAATTTTTCAATTTTTGGACTTTCAAGTTTTCGAATTTTTCGTATCTTCGATTTTCTCGATTTTTCGATTTTTCAATGTTTCCATCTAGCAATTTCTTGGTTCTTTAGTTTCTAGGTATTTTAATTTTACGTTTTTTTTAATTTTTTGAAAGCTTTAAATTCTTCAAATTTTGAGTTTTCACCTCTTGAATTTTTCAAATTTCTCAATGATGAGGCTTTCAAGTTTTCGATTTTTGAATTTTCAAATTTTTGACTTTTCCATTATTCGATTTGTCATTTATCCAGTCTTTAATTTTTGAAATTTTTGATTCTTGAGGTTTTGGATTTTCAAATTTCGATTTTTCCGTTTTCCAATTTTTGAATTATTAATTTTGTAATTTTTTGTTTTCTTTCACTTTTTCAATATTTCATTCTTAAAATTTTTCATTTCTCCAATTTTTGGACTTTGAAAGATTTTTGATTAGTCTCTTTTTGTAATGCTCCATTTTTCGATTTTTGAAGTACCTACATATTCAATTTTTCACTACTTAAATATCTGAATTTTTTCGATTTTCAGTCTTCCAGTTATACAGTTTCTAATTTTTAATTTTTCAATATCGCAATTTTTAACATTTTTCGGTTCTTGAGTTTTTGAATTTTCAATTTTTCTGTTTCTCGTTTTTCAATTTAGATCGTCAATTTTTTTCCATTTCCCAATTTTTGGATTTTTCTGTTTTCAGTTGTTGAATATTTCAATTGTACAGTTTTTAAATTTGTCGACACTAGGTTTTCAATTTTTCATTTTTCAAAATTTTTCATTTCATCAGGTTTCAAATGTTTAAACTTTCAAATTTTCTGTTTTTGGTTCAGTGTTTCGATTTTTTAGTAGTTTTTTGATTTTTTTTTTCCATCTTTCAGTTTGACGATTTTTCAGTTTTTCGATTTGTCAATTTTAGATTTTTAGATATTTCGATTATTCAAATTTTCGATTTCGCTTTTTCAATGAAACAGTTCAATTTCCGGTGTATCAATATTTCATTTTTCAAAATTTTTCGTTCGTTGAGTTTATGAATTTTTCAGCTTTTAGACTTTCCATTTTTCTATTTTTCAAATTTTCGGTCTTCAATTTTTTAATTTTTCAAATTTTAGAAGTTCCAGGTTTCGATTTTGCAATTCTCCACTTTTCAACTTCTGAATTTGACTTTGGTTTTTCGATTTTCAACTTTTCCGTTATTTAGTTTTCGATTTTTCAAATTTCGATTTACAATTGAAATAATTTTCGACTTTCTTGATTTTTCAACTTTTGAATTTAAAATTTTTTATTTTTCAATTTGATTTTCTCGATTTACAATTTTTCAAATTTCGATTTGAATGAATGTGTACGTTTTTGTAAAACTTGAAAAATCAAATATTTAGAACTTTACAATTCAAAAGTGAAAATGTACAAAATTGTTAAAATAAAAAATATTTAGATTTTTTTTAGATATTTCAGTTTTACAATTGTTCGTTTTCTTAATTTCTCGATTTTCCAACTTTGGAATTTTCCGATTTTTCTACTTCAAGATCTGAAAATTTGGAAAATCGCAACATTGCAAAAAAATGTAGAAGTGAAAAATTCAGAATTCGAAAAATTGCATTTGAAAAAGTTGAGTTACTGAAAATTCGTAAATTTTTTTGATTAAGTTATAAAAACTAATTCTGCAGAATTTTGAAAACGTCAACAGCCAAACAAATGGCAGACCTACTTTTTCATGCCCTAGAATCAATAGAGGAAAAACTTCTACAAATAAAGTTCAAGCAATTAAATTCTTAATTTATTAACTAGAAACAATTCCAGAAATACACCTTAATTTTCGCACAAAGTAGACAAAACCAAAGCAACCCCCTTTCGAAATAATGAACCAGCGGCACACCATCTATTTTTACACAAAAAATGAACACCAAACTAAAAACGCAGGAAACTGTCAGAGCCAAAAAAAAAACAACGACAGGACTCCCATAAATCTGTTTCCAGTGTTTACAAAGTTGTCCTTCCGTGAAATCGACAAACCGGGCGGTGCCATTGTAACAAAAAACGCGAGTAAAATCCACCACATCCAAGTGCTTTCGGACAAAAAGACGCAAATTTTCAGAATCACAGTCACAACTCCACGGATTGTTGTTGAGCAGGAGACTACTCATCGACCACTTGTTGAATTTTTGGACAAATTCGCGACCTAGAGTTGACAGCTGGTTGTGGTCAAGTTCCAACACCTGTAAAAATTATTCAAATAAGAAATTGATGTGGACACAAAATCGAAATTGTACCTTTAAATTACGGTCGGGTTCTCCTTGGACTGTGACGAGGTTGTTCTTCGACAAGAACAAGCTTGTTATGTTCTTGTAAAGACTCAAGTTTGCTGATGTCAAACGGTTGCTTTCTAAGTGGACTTCAATCTGGGTGAAGTTCGTTCTTTGGAAGGAACTGGTGGTGATGTTGGGGAAATAGGTTAAGTTCCGGTTGGAACAGTCCACGACAAGTGAAGAATCGAAGGGTCTCCAACTACACAAACATTCTTCAGGGCAACCAGAATCTTCCAAAGGACAAGTTATAGTTGACAATTCCAAACTGTCTATAGAATTGTCTAGAGCTTCACAGTTGGAAGATCCGGTGCGGATGTTGAACATCATGGTCAGTTGGTGGTTTGACTCTCCTTTCAAGTACTTCATTAGGTCGTAGTTAGTGCAGTCACATTTTAGGGGATTATTTGCTAAGTGGATGGTAACAGTGTAGTAGTATTTGGTCAAGTCTACCTGGTCAAAATTGACAACTGAGATGTTGTTGGATTCGAGGTTAACGTCAACGTTTGACCAGTCTTGGAGATTAAGAAGCTAAAATCAAAATATTAGTTGGAGAAAAAAATAAAGTCAATCACACTCACCGATAAATTCGAAATCAAATTTTTCTTCAAGTCTAACACTTCCATCAGTGGTTTGTGCCTAGTTTTCCACATTTCCAATTCTTCAGTTACAATTTTTCAATTTTTTTCAGTTTTTCAATTTTACATTCCGACTTTATATTTTCCGAGTTTTTGGAATTCCCACATTTTTTAGTGTTGAATTTTCAAAAAACTAATCGATTTATCAGTTTTTTATTTCTTCGATTTCTTGATTTTCAATTTTTCAAAGTTAGTGTCTCATTTTTTTTTTTAATTTTTCAACTTTTGAATTTTTGTATTATTTACTTTTTAGATTTAATTTCCAAATTGTTGGAATTTTTAATTTTTCTAATTGTCAATTTTACAACTTTTCGAATTTTTGATTCTTCAATTTTTCGGGTTTCTCGATTTATCAACTTTTGAATTTTCCATTTTTGATTCTTCACCCTGATTACTTAGTTTTTCAGTTTTCAATTTTTCAATGTTTCGTTCTTTCAATTTTTTAATTTTTTGAATCTTCAGATTGTGCAAATTTTTATTTTGTTCCAGTTTCCGGATGTTTTCATTTTTCATCTTTTGAACTCTTCAATTTTTCGATTTTTCACCTTTTGCGTTTTTCAAATATCCTATTTCCCAGTTTTTTAATTTTTCAAGTTTCCGATTTTTCATTTCTAAAATTCCCCGAATTTTTGACTTTTCAATTTTTCGAGTTTCTCAATTTTCAACCTTTGAATTTTCCAGTTTCGATTTTTTTTTCGGTATTTCAACTTACTGAAACTTTTAATTTTTCGTTCTTTCAATTTTTCGTGTCTTGAATTTTCGGTTTCTAAATGCTTCGATTTTGCAATTTCTTATTTCTTCAGTTTCTAGAAATTTTATTTACCCGTTTTTTTTCGATTTTGCATTTCTTTAATTTTTCGTTTTTCCAACTTTTGAATTTTTCAAATACATATTCGATTTCTGAATTGTTTAATTTTTGGAGTTTCCGATTTTTCAGTTTTAAATTCCCAGAATTTAGAATTTTCGATTTTTCGCTTTTTCTGTATTTTTGGAACTTAATTTTTCGTTCCTTAAATTTTTCACATCTTCAATTTTCGATTAATGAAAGCTTCGATGTTTGCATTTTTTTTCTTCAGTTTCTAGAAACGTTAATTTCCCGTTGTGTTCAATTTTTGGATTGTTTCCAATTTTTCATATCTTTAATTTTTGGATTTTCCAACTTTTGAATCTTCGTAGTTTCTCTATTTTTCAGCTTTTGAATTTTTCATTTTTATTTTTTAGTTTTTGTCAATATTTCAATTTTGTAATTTCTTGTTTTTTCAGTTACTGTTTTAATTTTTCGTTTTTTCATTTTTTTTTCCATTTTGCAACATGTTTTTTCAGTTTCTAGAAATTTAAATTTTTTGTTTTTTTCTTCATTTTTTCCAATACTTTTAATTTTTCCTTTTTTCAATTTAATAAAAAATCAATAATTTAAAATATTTTTCGATTTTAAAAGGTTCAATTTTCGAATTTCTCGATTTTTCAACTTTTGAATTTTGTATTTTTGATTATTCGATCTGACTTTTGAATCTCTGGATTTTTCGATTTTTCATCTAAATTTTCAATTTTTCATATCTGTCTCCAATTTTTCGATTTCCATTTCTTCGATGTTACAATTTTTCGATTTTGCAATTTCTTGTTTCTTCAGCTTCTAATATTTTGATTTTTCCATTTTTTTCAATCCGTGGATTGTTTTCAATTTTTGTAAATTTTCGACTTTAAATTTAAAAAATTTTTGAGTTTCTCGATTTTTTAACTTTTGATTTTCTTATGTTTCAGTTTAACAATTTCTTCTACAATGTTCTCGACATTTTAATTTTTCATTTAAAAAAATTTTTTTTAAACTTTAAATTCTTCATTTCAAGTTTTGAATTTTCAACTTTTGATTTTTTTGAGTTTTTCGATTTTAAATTTATATTTTTCGAGTTTCTTGATTTTCAATTTTTAATTCTTTCTGTTTAATTTCTCATTCTCATTTTCGAATTTCTCAATTTTTGAACTTTCAAGCTTTCGAATTTTTCAAATCTTCGATTTTAAATTTAACAACTTTCGATTTTCTCGATTTTTCGATGTTTCCATCTAGCAATTTCTTGTTTCTTCAGTTTCTAGGTATTTTAATTTTAGGTTTTTTTTTATTTTTTGCAAGCTTCAATTCTTCATTTCTTGAAGTTTTGAGGTTTCAACTTTTGAATTTTTCAAATTTCTCAAATTTTTGATTTTTCCGTTTTTGAGTTTTCCATTATTCGATTTATCATTTATCCAGTCTTTAATTTTTGAAATTTTGTATTCTTAACGTTTTTTGATTTTTTATTGTCGATTTTTCAATGTCAGTTTTTAAATTGTTGATATTTCGCGTTTTGGATTTTCAAATTTTCGATTTTTCCGTTTTTCAATTTTCTATTATTTAATTTTCACTCATCCAGTTTTCAATGTTTGAATTTTTCGATTATTAATTTTCTGATTTTTTATTTTCTTTCAATTTTTCAATATTTCATTTTTCAAAATTTTTCGTTTCATGAGGTTTCGGATTTTTAAACTTTCAAATTTTCTGTTTTTATTTCAGTGTTTCGATTTTTTGTAGTTTTTTGATTTCACATTTTTCAGTTTTTCGATTTTTCAAATTTTTTGTTTTCCAGATTTTGATTTTTCGAATTTTAGGTTTTCCAGATTTCGATTTTTCAGTTTTTCGATTCTTCAATTTTAGATTTTTCAATATTTCGAATATTCAACTTTTCGATTTCGATTTTTCAATGAGACGGTTTTCAATTTTTGAATTTATTGATTTTTTTATTCTATTTATCTATGTTTCAATTTCCGGTATTTCAATATTTCAATTTTCAAAATTTTTGGATCCTTGAGTTTATGGATTTTCAATTTTCAGCTTTTAGATTTTCCATTTTTCTATTTTTCAAATTTTCGGTCTTCAATTTTTTAATTTTTCAAATATTAGAATTTTCAGGTTTCGATTTTGCAATTCTCCACTTTTCAATTTCTGAATTTGACAACTCTTTAGATTTTCGATTTACAATTGAAATAATTTTCGAGTTTCTCGATTTTTCAATGTTTCCGTTTAGCAATTTTTTGTTTCTTCAGTTTCTAGGTGTTTTAATTTTTTGTTTCTTTTAATTTTATGAAAGCTTTAAATTGTTCATTTCCTCAAGTTTTGAGTTTTCAACTTTTGATTTTTTCAAATTTTCGACATTTAAATTTAAACAGTTTTTCGATTTTAAATGTATGTTTTTCGAATTTCTCGATTTTTGACTTTTAACTTTTTGTATTTCATTTCTCATTCTCATTTTCGAATTTTTCAATTTTTGGACTTTCAAGTTTTCGAATTTTTCAAATTTTCGATTTTAAATTTAACAACTTTCGATTTTCTCGATTTTTCGATGTTTCCATCTAACAATTTCTTGTTTCTTCAGTTTCTAGGTATTTTAATTTTACGTTTTTTTTTTAATTTTTTGAAAGCTTTAATTCTTCATTTCTTGAAGTTTTGAGGTTTCAACTTTTGAATGTTTCAAATTTCTCAAATTTTGGATTTTTCCGTTTTTGAGTTATCCATTATTCGATTTATCATTTATCCAGCCTTTAATTTTTAAATTTTTGATTCTTCACTTTTTGGATTTTCAAATTTTCGATTTTTCCGTTTTCCAATTTTCCATTATTCAATTTTTCACTCATCCAGTTTTCAATTTTTGAATTTTTCGATTATTAATTTTCTGATTTTTTATTATCTTTCAATTTTTCAATATTTCACTCTTAAAATTTTTCATTTCGCCAATTTTTGGACTTTAAAAGATTTTTGATTAGTCCCTTTTTGTAATTTTCCATTTTTCGATTTTTCAAATACATATTCAATTTTTCACTATTTAAATGTCTGTATTTTTCGGTTTTCAGTCTTTCAGTTATACAGTGTTTAATTTGTAACTTTTCAATATCTCAATTTTTAAAATTTTTCGGTTCTTCAGTTTTTGAATTTTCAATTTTTCTGTTATTCAATTTTCAGATCGACAACTTTTTCCATTTTCCAATTTTTGGATTTTTCTGTTTTCCGATTGTTGAATAATTCAATTGTACAGTTTTTAAATTTGTCGACTATTCAGTTTTTTAATTTTTCGGTTTTCAATTTTTCATTTTTCAAAATTTTTCATTTCATCAGGTTTCGGATGTTTAAACTTTCAAATTTTCTGTTTTTGTTTCAGTGTTTCGATTTTTTAGTAGATTTTTGATTTTTTTATTTTCCATCTTTCAGTTTTTCGATTTTTCAGTGAAACAGTTTTCAATTTCCGGTGTTTCAATATTTCATTTTTCAAAATTTTTCGTTCGTTGAGTTTATGGATTTTCAATTTTTCAGTTTTTAGATTTTCCATTTTTCTATTTTTCAAATTTTCGGTCTTCAATTTTTTAATTTTTCAAATTTTAGAAGCTCCAGGTTTCGATTTTGCAATTCTCCACTTTTCAACTTCTGAATTTGACTTTGGTTTTTCGATTTTCAACTTTTCCGTGATTTAGTTTTCGATTTTTCAAATTTCGATTTACAATTGAAATAATTTTCGAGTTTCTTGATTTTTCAACTTTTGAATTTAAATTTTTTTATTTTCCAATTTGATTTTCTCGATTTACAATTTTTCAAATTTCGATTTGAATGAATGTGTACGTTTTTGTAAAACTTGAAAAATCAAATATTTAGAACTTTACAATTCAAAAGTGAAAATGTACAAAATTGTAAAAATAAAAAATATTTAGATTTTTTGATATTTCAGTTTTACAATTGTTCGTTTTCTTAATTTCTCGATTTTCCAACTTTGGAATTTTCCGATTCTTCAACTTCAAGATCTGAAAATTTGGAAAATCGCAACATTGCAAAAAATTGTAGAAGTGAAAAATTTAGAAGTCGAAAAATTGCATTTGAAAAACTTGAGTAACTGAAAAATCGTAAAATGTCTTGATTAAGTTGTTAAAACTGCGGAATTTTGAAAACGCCAACAGCCAAACAAATGGCAGACCTACTTTTTCATGCCCTAGAATCAATAGAGGAAAAATTACACAAATAAAGTTCAAGCAATTAAATTCTTAATTTATTAACTAGAAACAATTCCAGAAATACATCTTAATTTTCGCACAAAGTAGACAAAACCAAAGCAACCCCCTTTCGAAATAATGAACCAGCGGCACACCATCTATTTTTACATAAAAAATGAACACCAAACTAAAAATGCAGGAAACTGTCAGAGCCAAAAAAAAAACAACGACAGGACTCGCATAAATCTGTTTCCAGTGTTTACAAAGTTGTCCTTCCGTGAAATCGGCAAACCGGGCGGTGCCATTGTAACAAAAAACGCGAGTAAAATCCACCACATCCAAGTGCTTTCGGACAAAAAGACGCAAATTTTCAGAATCACAGTCACAAGTCCACGGATTGTTGTTGAGGAGGAGATTACTCATCGACCACTTGTTGAATTTTTGGACAAATTCGCGACCTAGAGTTGACAGCTGGTTGTGGTCAAGTTCCAACACCTGTAAAAATTATTCAAATAAGAAATTGAGTGGACACAAAATCGAAATTGTACCTTTAAATTACGGTCGGGTTCTCCTTGGACTGTGACGAGGTTGTTGTTCGACAAGAACAAGCTTGTTATATTCTTGTAAAGACTCAAGTTTGCTGATGTCAAACGGTTGCTTTCTAAGTGGACTTCAATCTGGGTGAAGTTCGTTCTTTGGAAGGAACTGGTGGTGATGTTGGGCAAATAGGTTAAGTTCCGGTTGGAACAGTCCACGACAAGTGAAGAATCGAAGGGTCTCCAACTACACAAACATTCTTCAGGGCAACCAGAATCTTCCAAAGGACAAGTTATAGTTGACAGTTCCAAACTGTCTATAGAATTGTCTAGAGCTTCACAGTTGACAGATCCGATGCGGATGTCGAACTTCATGGTCACCTCGCGGTTTGAGCCTCCCTTCAAGTACTTCATTAGGTCGTAGTTAGTGCAGTCACATTTTAGGGGATTATTTGCTAAGTGGATGGTAACAGTGTTATAGTATTCGATCAAGTCTACATGGTCAAAATTGACAACTGAGATGTTGTTGGATTCGAGGTTAACGTCAACGTTTGACCAATCTTGGAGATTAAGAAGCTAAAATCAAAATATTAGTTGGAAAAAAAAATGCAATCAATCACACTCACCGATAAATTCGAAATCAAATTTTTCCTCAAGTCTAACACTTCCATCAGTGGTTTGTGCCTAAGTGTTATTAAACCTTCGATGTTAGTAATCAAGTTGTAACTCAGATTGAGATTTTGAAGAAACATCAAATTTTTGAAAATGTTGCCTTGACCGTTGTAACCATTTCTCGACAAATCAATCGCTCTCAACCGGTAATTATTGACAAAAGCAAGCTGTTGAATATGTTTTATCTGATTCTGAGCTAAATTAAGCTCTTCTAGAAGAATCAAATTCGAAAACGCCCCTTCGTTAATTATTCTGATGGCATTGTTTTCCAAATTCAGTATTTCGAGATTTTTCAGCGAGCTTGGCATAGCGTCAACATCGTCAAGTTCATTGTCAGACAAATCGAGCTTCTCTAAGTTAAAGAGGTCCTCGAAAATCTGTTCAGGAAGCGTCTTTAGGGCATTTTTTTTCAAAAATAAGGTCTGCAAATCGTGCAAATTCTCGAAAATTTCTTCAGGTAGCTCCGTGAGATTACAGTTGGATAAATCTAAAGTTTTCAAGGCACTAAATTTGGAAAAAAGACTGCCTTTGATTTTGAAATTCGGGTTATCTTTTAGAATGAGCAGGTCTAGTTTGGAATTTTTTGAAAAAAGTCCGACCGGAAGTGACTTCAGATTGTTCATGGCTAAACTTAAATGGGCTAGAGTTTTCAACTGTCGGAACGTTTTGACCGAGATTGTTTCGATTTTGTTGGCACTCAAATCTAAAACTTGTAGAGACGACAATCCTTCGAAAGTGGAGTTAGCGAGTGTAGTGATCTGATTTCCGCTTAAATCCAAATTTGTTACTTTTTTCAGCGACTTGAACACCCCAGGTGGCAGATTTTCCAACCGATTGCCACTCAAGTCGAGCCAGTCCAACACTTTCAGGTTCTTGAACAATTTGGCTTTAATTGCCGATAAATTGTTTCTCTTTAGAACAAGTCCGACCAAATTTGGGGTAGTTGCAAAGGCGCTTTCATCCAAGGATCCGAGCTTGTTGTGGGCTAACTTCACGGATCGTAGGTGTTTCAGATCGTGGAACATTTGTTTAGTTAACTCCTGGTTGGGTGGGTTTCCGTATTCGTACTCTATGGAGTTGAGATTCTCCTTCGAGAACCTGTCTTGGATTTTCTTGAAGCCGGTTTTTGGTAAAGGGCACGAGTGGAGTTGGAGGTGGGTGATGTTGCTGGGAGCGATGTTCGGGAATTGGGGCATTTGGAGCGAATTGAGGTCTTGGCACTGAATGATGAGGTCTTGGACAGGGGTTACCTGGATTTCGAAGCCTCCGACTTTTGTGTAGTTGAGGGGGCAGAAGAAGTGGGATTCTGATTTGTCGTAGGGGTGGCAGGGTTTAGACGCCGTGGAGAAGAGGCACAAGCCCAGGAAAATTGTTAAAGTCTTCATTTCTGCAACAAAAATAATAATTAAGAAATAATTAAAACAAATGCCGCTTTTTTGTAAAATTATGGAAATTTTTTGACCTGAATTTTTCGATTTTTCATTTTTGTTTTGTTTCTACAGTTTTTCGATTAGTAATTTTGAGTTTTCAAACAAATTTTCCATTTTTCCGATTCTTTAATGCCCCCTCCTTTAAATTTCCGAAATGCAATTTTTGTTTCGGTTTTTGACTTTTTTATTTTCAGAGTTTTTTAATTTTCATTGTTAATTTTTTCGGTTTTTCGATTTTTCAACTTTTGGATGTTTCAATTTTTAGATTTCGGAATTTTTTGATTTGCAATTTCACGTGTTTTCTACTGTCCTGATTTTATAATTTTTTTCAATGTCGAATTTTTCAATTTTTGGATTTTTCGATTTGCAAATTTTCGTTTTTGCACTTTTTTATTTTAAAATTTCTCGAATTTTTAGTTTTTAATTTTACAATTTTGTGATTCTTTAATCCTTCAATTCGTATGTATTTACAATTTTTCATTTTTTTTTTACTTTCTTAATTTTGACAGTTTTTCAATTTTTAATATATGTTTTTTTGTTTCTTCAATTTTATGATCATGCAACTCTTCGGATTTTCATTTTTAAATTTTTCATTTCCTGCATTTCCCAACTTTTAGATGTTTCAATTTTTAGATTTCGGAATCTTTCGGTTTGTAATTTCAAGAGTTTCCTTTTTTTTCAATTTTTCGATTTGTAAATTTTGGTTTTTTCAATTTAAAACTTTTTTTGACTTCTTTAATTTTACGATTTTAGAATTTTCCATTTTTCAGCTATTGTATTCGAAAGTTACATATTTCATTTATTCGATGCTTTATTTTTCAATTCCTTAAAAGTCAAATTTTTCAATTTTTAGATTTTTCGATTTCATGATTTTTCAATTTTTTGTTTCAATTTTTAGCTTTTGTAATTTTTCAATTTAAAATTTCTCGAATTTTAAATTTTTAATTTTGCAATTTTCCGAAACTTTATTTTTTCAGCTCTTTAAGCTTTCGATTTGCAATTTTATGATCAATGTTGCAACTTTTCGAATTTTCATTTTTAAACTTTTCAGTTTCTCGATTTTCCAACTTTCAGACGTTTCAATTTTTGATTTCGGAATTTTCCGATTTGCAATTTCAAGAATTTCCAAATTTTTTTTCCAATTTTTCATGTCTTCAATTTTTCTATTTTTCAATGTTCTGATTTTATAATTTTTGTTTTTTGCAATCTCAAATTACTAAAAATTTAGATTTTCAATTTTTCGATTTGTAAATTTTGGTTTTTTCAATTTAAAATTTTTTTCACTTTTCAATTTTACAATTTTAGAATTTTCCATTTCTCAGTTATTAGATTTTAAAACTGACTAATTCATTTATTCCATGCTTAATTTTTCAATTTCTCGAAAGTCAAATTTTTCAATTTTTGGATTTTGCGATTTGTAATTTTTTGTTTTTTCAATTTTGTGATTTTCAGTTTAAAATTTCTCGAGTTTTCAATTGTTAGTTTTGCGATTTTCGCTTTCTTTAATTTTTTGACTCTCTAAACTTTCGATTTGCAATTCGTGGATTTATTCTTAATTTTGACAGTTTTTCCTTTTTTTTGTTTCGTCAATTTTATCATCCATATTGCAACTTTTCTTTTTTAAATTTTTCAATTTCTCGATTTTCCAACTTTCGGATGTTTCAATTTTTAGATTTTGGATTTTTTGATTTGCAATTTCAAGAATTTCCAATTTTTTTTTTCAATTTTTCTGCTTTTCAATGTCCTGTTTTATTAATTTTTCTTTTTTTCAACCTCAAAGTACTCAGCTTTTGAATTTTTTAATTTTTCGATTTGTAAATTTTGGTCTTTTCAATTTTTGGATTTTGCAATTTTTCATCTTAAAATTTCTCGAGTTTTCAATTTTTAACTTTGCAATTTTCCGATTCTTTAATTTTTCAACGCTTTCAACTTTCGATTTGCAATTTTTGGATTTTTTTTTACTTTCTTAAATTTGAAAATTTTTATTATTTTTTTTTTGTTTCGTAATTTAATGATCAACTCGTTAAATTTTCTTTTTAAAATTTTCCAATTTCTCGATTTCCAACTTTTGGATGTTTAAATATTTAGATTTCGGAATTTTTCGATTTGCAGTTTCAAGAGTTTCCAATTTTTTTTTCAATTTTTCATGTCTTCAATTTTTCTGTTTTTCAATGTTCTGATTTTGTAATTTTTCATGTCTTCAATTTTTCTGTTTTTCATTGTTCTGATTTTGTAGTTTTTCTTTTTCCAATCTAAAATTAGCCAGTTTTCGGATTTTTAATTTTTCGATTAGATTTTAAAACTATTTCATTTATTCGATGCTTAATTTTCCGATTTCTGGTAAATTTAATTTTTTCAATTTCTTGAAAGTCAAAATTTTCAATTCTTGGATTTTGCGATTTGTAATTTTTTGTTTTTTCAATTTTCGATTTGCAATATTTCTAGTTTTCATTTTCCATAAGTAATAATAATAATTTAAAAATGTTTCACTTTTTCAATTTTACAATTTTAGAATTTTTCCATTTTTCAATTACCTACTGGGTTTTAAAATTTTTTCGTTTATTCGATTTTTAATTTTTTTAATTTTTTAGTTTCTTGGTAGTCTAATATTTCAGTTTTTGGTTTTTCAATTTTTAGTTTTGCAATTTTTCGATTCTTTAATTTTTCAACTCTGAACTTTCGATTTGCAATCCATGGATTTTTTTACTTTCTAAATTTGGACAGTTTTTTCTTTTTTTCTAAATTTTCAATTTCTCGATTTTCCAACTTTCGGATGTTTCAATTTTTAGATTTCGGATTTTTCGATTTGCAATTTCAAGAGTTTCCAATTTTTTTTCTATTTTTCATGTCTTCAATTTTTCTGTTTTTCAATGTTCTGATTTTGTAATTTTTCTTTTTCCAATCTCAAATTTGTCAGTTTTCGGATTTTTAATTTTTCGATTAGATTTTAAAACTATTTCATTTATTCGATGCTTAATTTTCCAATTTCTGGTTAATTTAATTTTTTCAATTTCTTGAAATTCAAAATTTTCAATTCTTGGATTTTGCGATTTGTAATTTTTTGTTTCTTCAATTTTCGATTTGCAATATTTCTAGTTTTCATTTTCCATAAGTAATAATAATAATTTAAAAATGTTACACTTTTTCAATTTTACGATTTTAGAATTTTTCCATTTTTCAATTACTGGGTTTTAAAACATTTTCGTTTATTCGATTTTTAATTTTTTAGTTTCTTGGTAGTCTAATTTTTCATTTTTTGGTTTTTAAATTTTTAGTTTTGCAATTTTTCGATTTTTTAATTTTTCAACTCTGAATTTTCGATTTTCAATTCATGGATTTTTTTACTTTCTAAATTTTGACAGTTTTTTCTTTTTTTTTTTGTTTCGTCGATTTTATCATCAATATTGCGACTCTTCAAATTTTCTTTTTTAAATTTTTCAATTTCTCAATTTTCCAATTTTCGGATGTTTCAATTTTTATATTTCGGAGTTTTCGATTTGCAATTTCAAGAATTTCCAAATTTTTTTTCAGTTTTTCTGCTTTTCAATGTTCTGCTTTATTTTTGTTTCCAGTCTCAAAGTAGGTACTCAGTTTTTTAACTTTTTAATTTTTCGATTTGCAAATTTTGGTCTTTTCAATTTTTCGATTTTGCAATTTTTCATCTTAAAATTTCTCGAGTTTTTAATTTTTTATTTTGCAATTTTTCGATTCTTTAATTTTTCAACTTTTTCAACTTTCGATTTGCAATTTTTGGATTTTTTTACTTTCTTAAATTTGAAAATTTGTTTTTTTTTTTTGTTGTTTCGTCGATTTAATGATGAATCTTGCAACTCTTCGAATTTTCGTTTTAAAATTTTTCAATTTCTCGATTTTCCAACTTTTGGATGTTTAAATATTTAGATTTCAGAATTTTTCGATTTGCAATTTCAAGAGTTTCCATTTTTTTTTTCAACTTTTCATGTCTTCAATTTTTCTGTTTTTCAATGTTCTGATTTTGTAATTTTTCTTTTTCCAATCTCAAATTAGTCAGTTTTTGGATTTTTGAATTTTTCGGTTAAATTTTAAAACTATTTCATTTATTCGATGCTTAATGTTCCAATTTCTGGTTAATCTAATTTTTTCAATTTCTCGATTTTAAAACTTTTTCGTTTATTCGATTTTTAATTTTCCAGTTTCTCGGTAGTCTAATTTTCAGTTTTTGGTTTTTCAATTTTTCGATTTGCATTTTTCGTTTTTTCAGTTTCATGCTTTTCAATTTTTCGTTAGTTCAATTTAGGATTGGCAATTTTTCTAGTTTTCAATTATTGTATTTTAAAACTTTTGCATTTATTCGATTTTTAGTTTTTCAATTTCTCAAATTGTTCAGTTTTTGAAGTTATCAATTTTTTGTTTTGCAATTATTCGTTTTTTTCAGTTTTAGATTTTTCAGTTTCATAATTTTTCAGTCAATTTTTCCTTTCTTTAATTTCTGACTGTTTTTTCATTTTAAATACATATGTAATAATGATAATAATAAAAAAAAATCACTTTCACTTTTATCATTTTACAAATTTTTTGGGTTTTCGAATTTTTGGATTATAAAATTTCACGATTTTTCGGTTTTTCAGTTCAATTTTTCGTTTCTTCAGTTCTTCGATTTTTCAGTTTTCCAGTAAAAAGATAGAAAAATTGCAAAATCGTAAAACTGAAAAATCAAAAATGAAAAAAAAAATAAATGAAAACTTTGAAAAATCTAAAAATTGGAAATCAAGACAAAAAAAATTCAAAAATTAGAAGATTCACAATTGAGAAACTTAAAAATCGAAAGTGCTCAAAAAGAAACAAAATTTATACATATTGTAAAATTTAGTACTTTGGACCGCAACCTGCAATAAAACCATTACGAACCCTTCGCAACGGAGGTACGACTTCAGCCAGAGCCGGACTTCAACTTTTGGAGCGTTTATATATGAATCATGGTAGAGTTAATTTTTATTGGGATTTTCCTAGGAAATATGTATTTGCAAAGATTTAAAGAGTTTTAAGTACCACACTTTCAGGTGTCCTTAAATTTTAAGATTAAATTCCTTGAAAGCGGTCCGTTTAACAATCTACCTGTTCACGTATTGAAACAAAGACGGTCCTGAAAATGTAAGGATGGCGAGTAATCTTGATTGACAGTTTTATGCTGGGTGGACTTTCCCAAGTAATCGGAAATTTTACAGCTGCAATTCTAATTATTGGAGTCATTTCCAAATATCTTTCGTCGTACAATACAACATTACGTGTAATAAAAATTGATCGTACTCTAGAGGTCATAAAACGTCGAAAAAACATTAAAGTGGCAAGTAGCTTACGCTCAGAAAGTAAAAATAGTAAGAACAACCTGTTCACTAATTTTATAAACATCAAGATTTTAAATTTGCAAGATTTGTCCGTTCCAACGGCTTAAGTACCTTTCGGAAAACGGCTCAAAGTCAACAGGTAAGAGAATTAGCAAATTTACCTCTCAAACTCAAGGGATTGCTGATTACCCGGAAAAGTTTAATGCTGATGGCTAAAAGTGGCTTTTAAAGTGGACGTAACTAGAAATTTTCGGCTTTCATAACGCTACCTACCCTCATAATGAGGGTTAATGATGGCGTGGACCGTGGAAGAATGTAAAAGTAAGCACCGGTGGTTAATAGTCGTCCCGTGCTGATTTCCCTAACGAACAAAAGTTGGAACTTTATGCATACGAAGCAGACTCTAATTTAAATATTGAGCGTTTTAGTTTCCGCACGATGATTCATTGATCTGAACTATATATTTTACAGTGGTCGTGATTATTTTTGTAATTCTACACGCGGCGTTGTTGTTGAGAACGCCGCTGGATGTCTGGAAAGTTCTCCGTACTCATGGGTGTAGAGTGTGGGGGAGATTTGGTAAAAAACTACATGAATAAGTCCCGTGAGATTTAATTTTTTTTTAAATATATAAAGTTCAAAAGTATAATGAGTTAGTTGTATTCATACCTTGATAATCTGATTAAAGCTGACAAAATTTGGGTAGACACATATCTGTAGAGACGACACCAAACTAAGACAAATTCTAGACACTCGGTACTTACTAACATAGAACACTTGTTACTAGTGACGTTTCCAGGTAAGAAATGCAAAAATAATTAAGCAAGTACCTAACGGAGATCAGGTAGGTAAAAAGGGCTAGGGAGAGGGTAACTGTGTACATTCTGTGTACCCAGGTGGCCATCAATTATTACTCCGTTGACCAATAAGTGAATTGAATATATTTATTATAAACCTTATCTAAGCAAGGCGGATAAATAGTACTACATCATTTCATTTTCATGTTTTAAATAAATATTGGGACATGTTATGTAGACATAATATTCCTAGCTCCTAAATGTTGCTTTTTCTTTTGTAACCCATTAAAAGTTAAAATTCTTTTTGATGGTGACGTTTCGTACTTGGAATAATTTAACTGATATGTTGCCAAATTTTAAATTTCCCACTGAAATTCTAAAAATAATAAATAAGAGGGAGAAATATTATTCATGGAATGGACCTTTTGTTCGACTATGATACCAATCAATTGGAAAACATGGTAATATTCAAATTTAGTGGGAAAATCAAACGCAGGTGCCACTCCAAAGCATGGTTATTAAATTAATCAATTTGAATTATAATTAATCAATTCATTAATCTTGTGTTGAATATTTTTCTGATTTTTAGTCACGTAATTTCCTTATAGATCCTTAAATGATAACTAAAATTTGTTTATTTACCCCCAGCAACAGCTTGATGACGTTACTTCAAAATTTTGACATAATGTTTGAAAACAAAATCTATACTGTCAGGTTAATTAATCGCGAATAGCGCCGTTTAAATGATAGGCTTCTTATTTTACTTCCTCTAGAATTGTCAGGATAAACTCGTTTCGAAATAAATTTCCAGAATTTTTCGATTTTTCTTCACTTTCCAGAAATTTTAATTTTTCATTTTTTCAAATGCTTTCAATTTTTCGTTACTTCAGTTTTTGAGTTATCAATTTTTAATTTTTCAAATGTTCCAAATTTTGTAATTTCTCGATTTTTCAACTTTTGAATTTCGATCTGACTTTTGAATTCCTGGATAATTCGATTTTTCTTTCATCTTCTAAATTTTTTAATTTCTCAGATTTTCGTATCTCCAATTCTTCGATGTTACAATTTTTCGATTTTTTTATTTTTTCAATTTTACAACTTTTAGATCCGCTCATTTTTGGTTTTTTCAGTTTTTCGATTTTTGAATAGTTCAATTTTGCAATTTCTTCTTTCTTCAGTTTCTAATACATGTTTTAATTTTTCCATTTTTTTCAATATGTGGATTGTTTTCAATGTTTCAATGTTTCAAATTTTCGACTTTAAATTTAAACAATCTTCGAGTTCTGGATTTTTCAGATCTTGAATTTCTTATTTTTCTGTTTTCAATTTGATTTTCGAATTTCTCAATTTTTCGAGTTTTTAATGTTTCAATTTAACAATTTCTTCTACAGTGTTCTAGGTACTTTCATTTTTATTTTTTTTTTAATTTTTTAAAAGCTTTAAATTCATTTCTTCAAGTTTTGAGTTTTCAATTTTTAAAATTTTTCGGTTCTCCAGTTTTTGAATTTTTAAGTATTCTATTGTTCATTTTTCAATTTACAAATCGACAATTTTTTTCAATTCCCCAATTTTTGGATTTTTCTGTTTTCCCATTGTTGAATATTTCTATTGTTCAATTTTTCGATTTTTCAGTCGTACAGTTTTTACATTTTTCGGTTTTCAATTTTTCAATATTTCATTTTTCAAATTTTTCGTTTCATCAGGTTTCAAATTTTCTGTTTTTATTTCATTATTTCGATTTTTCAGTTTTTTTATTTTTTCATTTTCCATCTTTCAATTTTTCGATTTTCAAATTTTTGGTTTTCCAGATTTCGAATTTTCGATTCTTCGAATTAGACAGTTTTCAATTTTTTAATTTTTCAAATATTCCAATTTTTGGAATTTCTCAATTTTTCAACTTTTGAATTTTCTATTTTTGATTCGATCTGACTTTTGAATTCCTGGATAATTCGATTTTTCTTTCATCATCTAAATTTTTTAATTTCTCAGATTTTCGTTTCTCCAATTTTTCGATTTTTTTTATTTTTTCAATTTTACAACTTTTAGATCCGCTAATTTTTGGTTTTTTCAGTTTTTCGATTTTTGAATAGTTCGATTTTACAATTTCTTCTTTTCTCAGTTTCTAATACATGTTTTAATTTTTCCATTTTTTTTTCAATATGTGGATTGTTTTCAATTTTTCAAATTTTCGACTTTAAATTTAAACAATCTTCGAGTTTCTCGATTTTTCAGATCTTGAATTTCTTATTTTTCTGTTTTCAATTTGATTTTCTAATTTCTCAATTTTTCGAGTTTTTAATGTTTCAATTTAACAATTTCTTCTACAGTGTTCTAGGTACTTTAATTTTTAATTTTTTTAAATTTTTTGAAAACTTTAAATTCTTCATTTCTTCAAGTTTTGAGTTTTCAATTTTTAAAATTTTTCGGTTCTCCAGTTTTTGAATTTTTAAGTATTCTATTGTTCATTTTTCAATTTTTCAAATCGACAATTTTTTTCAATTTCCCAATTTTTGGATTTTTCTGTTTTCCCATTGTTGAATATTTCTATTCGATTTTTCGATTTTTCAGTCGTACAGTTTTTACATTTTTCGGTTTTCAATTTTTCAATATTTCATTTTTCAAAATTTTTCGTTTCATCAGGTTTCAAATTTTCTGTTTTTATTTCATTATTTCGATTTTTCAGTTTTTTTATTTTTTCATTTTCCATCTTTCAATTTTTCGATTTTCAAATTTTTGGTTTTCCAGATTTCGAATTTTCGATTCTTCGAATTAGACAGTTTTCAATTTTTTAATTTTTCAAATATTCCAATTTTTGGAATTTCTCAATTTTTCAACTTTTGAATTTTCTATTTATGATTCGATCTGACTTGAATTCCTGGATATTGCGATTTTTCTTCATCTTCTAAATTTTTTAATTTCTCAGATTTTCGTATCTCCAATTTTTCGATTTTTTTTTATTTTTTCAATTTTACAACTTTTAGATCCGCTAATTTTTGTTTTTTTCAGTTTTTCGATTTTTGAATATTTCGATTTTGCAATTTCTTTTTTCTTCAGTTCCTAATACATATTACAATTTTTCCATTTTTTCAATCTGGATTGTTTTCAATTTTTCCAATTTTCGAGTTTCTCGATTCTCCACTTTTTAATTTTTCATTCTCATTTCGAATTTCTCAATTTTTGGACTTTCACGTTTTCGATTTTTCCGTCTATCAATTTTCCATTTTTCGATTACCAATTTTTCAGTAATACAGTTTTCCATTTTCGAATTTTCACTACTTCAATTTTTAAAATATTTCGGTTCTTCAGTTTTTGGATTTTCAAATTTTCTGTTACTCAGTTTTTAATGCTTCTTTTTTCCATATTTCAGTTTTTAGATTTTTCGAATTTTAAATTTTCCAGCTTTCGAATTTTCAGTTTTTCGATTTTTCAATTATGCAGTGTTAAAAATGTTTCGATTCTTCAGTTTTCGGATTTTGCATTTTTCAATTTTTCAATTTTCAAATTTTTCGTAATGCAGGTTTCGGATTCCCATTTTTTAATTTTTCAAATTTTCCAATCTCCAGGTACAATTCTCCACTTTTCAATTTCTGGATTTGTCAAGTCTTCAGATTTCGAATTTTTCAAATTTTCGATTTTAAATTTAACAACTTGCTTTCAATTTTACGTTTTTTTTTTTAATATTTTGAAAACTCCAAATTCTTCCTCAAGTTTTGAGTTTTCAACTTTCGAATTTTTCAAATTTCTCAATTATTAGGCTTTCAAGTTTTCGATTTTTGGATTTTCAAATTTTTTTCTTTTCCGTTTCTGAGTTTTTCATTATTCGATTTATCATTTATCCAGTCTTTCATTTTTGAAATTTTTTATTCTTGAGGTTTTTTAATTTTTCGGTTTTCAATTTTTCAATATTTCATTTTTCAAAATTTTTCGTTTCATCAGGTTTCGGACTTTTAAATTTTCAAATTTTCTGTTTTTATTTCAGTGTTTCGATTTTTTATTAGTTTTTTGATTTTTTCATATTCCGTCTTTCAGTTTTTTGATTTAACATTTTTCGATTTTTCAAATTTTTTGGTTTTCAGTTTTTCGGTTCTACAATTTTAGATTTTTCAATTTTTCGATTATTCAACTTTTCGATTTCGATTATTCAATGAAACAGTTTCCAATTTTTGAATTTATTGATTGTTCAGTTTATGGATTTTTCAATTTCCGGTGTTTCAATACTTCAATTATCAAAATTTTTCGATCCTCGAGTTTATGGATCTCCAATTTTTTAATTTTTCAAATTTTCGAATTTCCAGGTTTCGATTTTGCACTTTTCAAGTTCTGAATTTGACAACTCTTTAGTTTTTCGATTTTCAACTTTTCCGTTATTTAGTTTTCGATTTTTCAAATTTCGAATTACAATAATTGAAATAATTTTCGAGTTTCTCGATTTTTCAACTTCTGAATTTCAAATTTTTTATTTTTCAATTTGATTTTCTCAATTTTTCAATGTTTCCGTTTAGGAATTTCTTGTTTCTTCAGTTTCTAGGTATTTTAATTTTTTGTTTCTTTTAATTTTATGAAAGCTTTAAATTGTTCATTTCTTCAAGTTTGGAGTTTTCAACTTTTGAATTTTTAAATTTAAACAGTTTTTTCGAATTATTCTACTTTTGAATTTCTCATTTTAAATGTTTCATTCTGATTTTCGAATTTCTCAATTTTTCAATTTTGCATTTTTTTGTTATTCTCAGTCCTAGATATTTGAATTTTTTGATTATTCAACTTTTGAGTTTTTCTATTTTTCGATTTTGCAATCTTTAATTTTTTGATATTTCAGTTTTACAATTTTTCGTTTTCTTAATTTCTCGATTTTCCAACTTTACAATTTTCGGATTTTTCAACTTCAAGATCTGAAAATTTGGAAAATCGCAAAAAATTGTAAAAGTACAAAATTCAGAAGTCGAAAAATTGCATTTGAAAAACTTGAGTAACTGAAAAATCGTAAAATTTCTTGATTAAGTTATAAAAACTGATTCTGCAGAATTTTGAAAACGTCAACAGCCACACAAATGGCGGACCTACTTTTTCATGCCCTAGAATCAATACAGGAAAAAACTTCCACAAATAAAGTTTAAACAATTAAATTTTTATTTTATTAAGTAGAAACAATACAGGAACATATTAACTATTTACAACAAAAACGCCCCCCTTTCGAAATGATGAACCAGCGACACACCATCTATTTTTACACAATAAAGGAACACCAAACCAAAAATGCAGCAAACTGTCACAGCCAAAGAAAAAACAATGACCATGCTCATGTAAACCTCTTTCAAGTGTTTACAAAGTTGTGCTTCCGTGGAATCGACAACCCGGACGGCGCCGTTGTAACAAAAAACGCGAGTAAAATCCACCACGTCCAAGTGATTTCGGACAAAAAGACGCAAATTTTCAGAATCACAGTCACAATTCCACGGATTGTTGTTGAGAACGAGGGTACTCATCGACAAGTTGTCGAATTTTTGGACAAATTTGGAACCTAGAGTTGACAGCTGGTTGTGGTCAAGTTTCAACACCTGTAAAATTTATTTAAATAAGATATTGAGTGGACACAGAATCGAAATTGTAGCTTTAAATGACGGTCGGGTACTCCTTGGACTGTGACGAGGTTGTTGTTCGACAAGAACAAGCTTGTTATATTCTTGTAGAGACTCAAGTTTGCTGATGTCAAACGGTTGCTTTCTAAGTGGACTTTAATCTGGGTTCGTTAAGTTCCGGTTAGAACAGTCCACGACAAGCGAAGAATCGAAGGGTCTATAACTACACAAACATTCTTCGGGGCAACCAGAATCTTGCAAAGGACAAGTTATAGTTGACAATTCCAAACTGACTATAGAATTGTCTAGAGCTTCACAGTTGGAAGATCCGGTGCGGATGTTGAACATCATGGTCAGTTGATGGTTTGTGTCTCCATTCAAGTACTTCATTAGGTCGTAGTTAGTGCAGTCACATTTTAGGGGATTATTTGCCAAGCGGATGGTAACAGTGTAATAGTATTCGGTCAAGTCTACCTGGTCAAAATTAACAACTGAGATGTTGTTGGATTCGAGGTTAACGTCAACGTTTGTCCAATCTTGGAGATTAAAAAGCTAAAATCAAAATATTAGTTGGAAAAAAAAATAAAGTCAATCACACTCACCGATAAATTCGAAATCAAATTTTTCTTCAAGTCTAACACTTTCATCAGTGGTTTGTGCCTAAGTGTTATTAAACCTTCGATGTTAGTAATCAAGTTGTAACTCAGATTGAGATTTTGAAGAAACATCAAATTTTTGAAAATGTTGCCTTGACCGTTGTAACCATTTCTCGACAAATCAATCACTTTCAACCGGTAATTATTGGCAAAAGCATTCTGTTGAATGTGTTTTATACGATTTTGGGCTAAATTAAGCTCTTCTAGAAGAATCAAATTCGAAAACGTCCCTTCGTTGATTGTTCTGATGGCATTGTTTTCCAAATTCAGTATTTCGAGTTTTTTCAGCGAGCTTAACATAGTGTCAACATCGTCAAGTTCATTGTCAGACAAATCGAGCTTCTGTAAGTTAATGAGGTCCTCGAAAATCTGTTTAGGAAGTGTCTTTAGGCCATTTTTTTTCAAAAAAATGGTCCGCAAATTGTGCGAATGCTCGAAAATACTTTCAGATAGCTCCGTGAGATTACAGTTGGATAAATCTAAAGTTTTCAAGACACTAAAATTGGAAAAAAGGCTGTCGTCGATTTCAAAATTCGGGTTATCTTTTAGAATGAGCACTTCTAATTTGGAATTGTTTGAAAAAAGTCCGACCGGAAGTGACTTCAGACTGTTCTGGGCTAAACTTAAACGGGCTAGAGCTGTCAACTGTTGGAACGTTTTGACCGAGATTGATTTGATTTTGTTGGCACTCAAATCTAAAACTTGTAGAGTCGACGATCCTTCGAAAGTGGAGTCCGCGAGTGTAGTGATCTGATTTCCGCTTAAATCCAAATTTGTTACTTTTTTCAGCGACTTGAACAACCCAGGTGGCAGATTTTCCAAGCGATTGCCACTCAAGTCGAGCCACTCCAACACTTCCAAGTTCTTGAACAATTTGGCTTTAATTACCGATAAATTGTTTCTCTTTAGAACAAGTGCGACCAAATTTGGAGTAGTTGCAAAGGCGCTTTCATCCAAGGATCCGAGCTTGTTGTGGGCTAACTTCACGAATCGTAGATGTTTCAGATCGTGGAACATTTCTTTAGTTAACACCTTGTGGAGTGGGTTTCCGTATTCGTACACTATGGTGTTAAGATTATCCTTGGAGAACCAGTTTTGGATTTTCTTGAAGCCGGTTCTTGGTAAAGGGCACGAGTGGAGTTGGAGGCGGGTGATTTTGCTATATGTGATGTTCGGAAATTGGTGCATTTGGAGCGAATTGAGGTCTTGGCACTGGATGATGAGTTCTTGTAGTGGGGTTACCTGTATTTCGAAGCCTCCAACTTTTTTGTAGTTGGAGGGGCAGAAGAAATGGGATTCTGATTTGTCGGAGGGGTGGCAGGATTTAGAGGGGGTGGAGAAGAGGCACAAGCCCAGGAAAATTGTTAAAGCCTTCATTTCTGCAACAAAAATAATAATTAAGCTGTAATTAAAACAAATCCCGCTTTTTTGAAAAATTATGGAAATTTTTTGACCTGAATTTTTCGATTTTTCATTTTTGTTTTTTTTTTCTACATTTTGTCGACTTGTAACTTTGAGTTTTCAAATATAAATTTTCCATTTTTCCGATTTTTTAATGACTCTTCCTTCTAATTTTCGATTTGCAATTTTTGGTTTCGGTTTTTTACTTTTTTATTTTCAAAGTTTTTTAATTTTCGTTTTTAAAATTTCTGGAGTTTTCAATTTTTAAGTTTGCAGTTTTCCGATTTTTTAATTTTTCAAATCTTTAAATTTTCGATTTACAATTTTTTTTACTTTCTTAATTTTAACAATTTTTCAATTTTTTTTTGTTTCTTCAGTTTTATGATCAATGATGCAACTCTTCGAATTTTCCTTTTAAAATTTTTTAGTTTCCCGATTTCCCAACTTTTGGATGTTTCAATTTTTGATTTCGGAAGCTTCCCATTTACCATTCCAAGAGTTTCCATTTTTTTTTTCAATTTGCGATTTGTAAATTTTGGTTTTTCAATTTAAATTTGTTTTCACTTTTTCAATTTTACGATTTTGCAATTTTTCACTTTTCACTTATTGGATTTTAAAACTATTTATTCGATTCTTAATTTTTCAATTTCTTGAAAGCCAAATTTTTCAATTTTTAGATTTTTCGATTTGCAATTTGCCGTTTTTTCAATTTCATGATTTTTCAATTTTTTGTTCCTTCAGTTTTTAGATTTTGCAATTTTTCAATTTAAAACTTCTCGAGTTTCCAATTTTTAATTTTGCAATTTTCCAATTCTTTAATTTTTCAACTCTTTAAACTTTCGATTTGCAATTTTTGGATTTTTCTTTTACTTTCTTAATTTTGACAATTTTTCCTTTTTTTTTGTTTCGTCAATTTTATATCATTATTGCAACTCTTTGAATTTTCGTTTTTAAATTTTTCGGTTTCCCGATTTTACAACTTTTGGATGTTTCAATTTTTCGATTTGCAATTTTAAGAGTTTAAAATTTTTTTTTCAGTTTTTCGTGTTTTCAATTTTTCTCCTTTTCAATGTTCTGTTTTCATAATTTTTCTTTTTTCCAATCTCAAAGTACTCAGTTTTAGGATTTTTTAAATTTTCGATTAGTATATTTTGGTTTTTTCAATTTTTCAGTTTAAAATTTTTCCAGTTTTCTTTTCTTTGTTTCGTTAAATTTATGATCAATGTTGCAACTCTTCGAATTTTCATTTGTTAATTTTTCAATTTCTCGATTTACAATTTCAAGTGTTTCCAAATTTTTTTTTCAATTTTCCGATTTTTCAATTTTTCATGTCTTCAATTTTTCTGTTTTTCAATGTTCTCGTTTTGTAATTTTTCTTTTTTACAATCTCAAATTAGTCAGTTTTTGGATTTTTCAATTTTTCGATTTGTAAATTTTGGAATTTCAATTTAAAAATTTTTTCACTTTCAACTTTACATTTTTTAGTTATTGCATTTTAAAACTATTTTATTTATTGTATGCTATTTTCAAATTCGCGGAAGTAAAATTTTTCAACTTTTAGATTTTTCGATTTGCCGTTTTTTCAATTTTAGGTCTTTCAGTTTCTCGATTTTCCAACTTTTGAATGTTTCAGTTGTTAGATTCGGAATTTTTCGATTAGCAATTTTAAGTTTCCAAATTTTTTCAGTATTCTGTTTTTATTTTTTTTCCATTTCAAATTACTCATATTTTGGATTTTTGAGTTTTTCGTTGTGTAAATTTTAGTTTTTCAATTTAAAAATTCTTTCGCTTTTTTTGACTTTACGATTAGAGAATTTTCCAGTTTTTAGTTGTTGGATTTATTCGATGCGTAATTTTTCAATATCTCGATAGTCTAATTTTTCAATTACTCGAAAACCAAATTTTTCAATTTTTGGATTTTTCGATTTGCAATTTTTCCGTTTTTTCAATTCCATGACTTTTCAATTTTTCGTTTCAATTTTTCTAGTTTTCATTTTCAATAAGTAATAATAACTACAAAGAAACTCACTTTTCAAATTTACGATTTTAAAATTTTTCCATTTTTTCAAAACTTTTTCATTTATTCAATTTTTATTTTCAGTTTCTCGATGTCTGATTTTTCAGTTTTTGGTTTTTTTATTTTTCGGTAGTTCAATTTAAGATCTGCAGTTTTTCTAGTTTTGATTTTAAATATGTGATTATGATAATTATTTCAAAAATTTTCCAGTTTTACGATTTTAGAATTTTCAGTTTCACGATTTTTCAGTTTTTCGTTTCCTTAATTTTTGACTTGCAATTTTTGTTGTTTTCATTTTAAATGTGTAATTTTGACAATAATAAAAAAAATCTGTTTCAGTTTTACCATTTTAGATTTTTTAATTTTTCAATTAGTATTTTTTCATTTATTCTGATGATTTTACAATTTTTTTGGATTTTCCAATTTTTCGATTTTAAAATTTATCGGTTTTTAGTTTTTTCAGTTAAATTTTTCGTTTCTTCACATCTTCGATTTGCAATGTTTCGATTATTCACTTTTTCGGTATTCCACTTTTCCAGTAAAAAAAAATGGAAAATATTAAATGAAAACTTTAAAATCAGAAAGCTTAAAAATCAAAAATCGAAAGTGCTCAAAAAACAAAATTTGGATTGTAAAATCGAAAAATTGAAATTTTAAGAAATAGAAAAATCGGATAACTGGAAATCGAAAAATTGCAAAATTGAAGAATTTAAAAATTGCAAAATCGGGGAATCGAAAATTCGGAGAAATCAAAAATTGAAAATTAGAAAAATTGTAAACAAAAGAAACACTGAAAAATAAAGGAAATGAAAAATTGAAAAAAAGAATTTGAAAAATTGAATAAACGAAAATTTGAAAAATCGAATAACTAAAAATTGAGAAATAAAAAATTAAAGAAAATAAAAAGAAAAAATAGTTTCAAAAAATTATAAGATTTGATTTTGCGAATTTTATTTTTTTTTCATGATAACTCTAACAAGTCAAAATAAAAATATGTACGTAATGTTAAAATAAATGTAAAGAAGCATGCTACAGTACCGTATTCCCAAATTTTCGGGAAAATGGAATCAGTCGTTTTTGATTTTAGCAAAATAAGTATAAGTAATTCTAAAATCTATAATTACATTGATAAACCATAAGTACAGAGTCACTGTATTTTGTAAGTTTCAAAGAGGATTTATTAGGCAAAATTTGAGATGACGTCACCACGATTACTACGAGTATAGTTAATTTCCAAAATGTTATACAATTTTGATTTTTTTATCAAAAAATCTGGATGTCTGGGTGAAAACTTACTTAAATCAAACATCACAAGTACAACATTATGTGTCTAATAAAAATTGATACAGACAACAGATAGACAGACGGAAACGGGAGACCACTTTTTTCGTACTCTACATGTCATGAAACGTCGAAGAAACATGAAAATGGCAAGTAGCTTACGCTCATAAAGTAAGAATAGTAAGAACAACCTGTTTACTGATTTTATAAACATCAAGGTTTTAAATTAGCAAGATTTGACCTTTCCGACGGTTTAGGTACCTTTCGGAGGAACGACTCAAAATCAACAGGTAAGAGAATTAGCAAATTTACCTCTCACACACAAGGGATTGCTTATTACCAGGAAAAGTTTAATGCTGATGGCTAAAAGTGGCTTTTAAAGTGGGCGTAACTAGAAATTTTCGGCTTTCATAACGCTATCTACCCTCATAATGAGGGTTAATGATGGCGTGGACCGTGGAAGAATGTAAAAGTAAGCACCGGTGGTTAATAGTCGTCCCGTGCTGATTTCCCTAACGAACAAAAGTTGGAACTTTATGCATACGAAGCAGACTCTAATTTAAATATTGAGCGTTTTAGTTTCCGCACGATTATTCATTGATCTGAACTATATATTTTACAGTGGTCGTGACTATTTTTGTAATTCTACACGCGGCGTTGTTGTTGAGAACGCCGCTGGATGTCTGGAAAGTTCTCCGTACTCATGGGTGTAGAGTGCGGGGGAGATTTGGTAAACAACTACATGAATAAATCCCGTGAGATTTAAAATTTTTTTAAATATATAAAGTTTAAAAGTATAATGAGTTAGTTTTATTCATACCTTGATAATCTGGATAAAGCTGAGAAAATTTGCGTAGACACAGATCTGTAGAGATAACACTAAACTACGACTGGTTCTAGACACTCACTACTTACTAGTGACGCTTGCAGGTAAGAAATGCAAAAATAATTAAGCAAGGGCCTAACGGAGAAGGGGCAGGTAATAAGGGCGAGGGAGAGGGTAACTGTGTACATTCTGTGTACACTGTGTGTGACCACTGAAATATACAAAGAGTAAATTTTGAAATGGAACGAAAGTCGAAGAATACTTTCAAAGCCACGATCAAAATGTATTTGCTTATCTTCGCCAAAAAATTCATGACGTCATCGTAAAATTTAATATGATGAGTCTATACCTGTGATTTATCATTGCAGTAATATTTTTTAGATTTACTTATACAGCCTATCTCAAAAAAAGGTCACTTCGATTTTCGATTTTTCATTTTTTCGACCAACAGTTTCATCGAATTAGATTTTTCAGTTTCCATTTTTCTATCAACTTTTCGATTTTATTACTTTCTAATTTTCTGACTTTTCAAATTTGCGGTATTTTGATTTTTCGAGTTTTCAGTTTTTTCGTTTTTCGATTTTTTTAATTTTTCGTTTTTTTGATTTTTCGATGTTTCGATTTTTTAATTCGCCATTCTTTCAATTTTCGATTTTTCGTCTTTCCATTTTTAGATTTTTTGATTTTTCTGTTCGTCAGTTTTTAGACTTTGCAATTTTTTTGCATTTTTCGATTATATTTTACTTTCTGATTTTTTTGATTTTTGAATTCTCGATTTTACGTTTTTAATTCTTCGCTTTCCGATTTTTCAATTTTCCGGGTTTTTAATTCTTCTATTCTCGATTTTTCGATTTTCCATTATTCGATTTTCCATTTTCTGATTTTACGATTTTTCGATTTGCGATTTTTCGATTTTCGTTTTTCCGCTTTTGTGGTTTTTCGATTTTTCTGTTTGTTTCAGTTTTTATGGTCCTGCAATTTGCAGCTTTTAGATTTCAATTTTGTTACTTTCCGATTTTCCACTTTTCGATTTTTTAATTTTTTTTCGATCGTCGTTTTTTCGATTTTCATTTTTTCGATTTTTTGATTTTTCAATTTTTAGGCCTTGCAATTTTCTTACTTTTCGCTTTTTCGAGTATTTGTTTCATCGAATTTTCGATTTTTCGAGTTTTCCATTTTTCGGTTTTTCCATTTTCCGATTTTCCATGTTTAGGTATTTTTCGATTTTTTTTTATTTTTCGATTGTTCTGTTCGTCAGTTTTGAGACTTTGCAATTTTTACTTTTCCACTTTTCTATTATTTCAGTTTCGGATTATTCGATTTTTGAATTTTCGTTTTTTTTTTCATTTTTCGATTTTCGATTTTTCGTTTTTTTAATTTGTCGAATATCGATATTCCGATTTTCGATTTTTCGATTTTCCAATCTTCGATTTTTCAATTTCCAGTTTTCGATTTTCCACTTTTTGATTTTACGATTTTTCGGTTTTTCTGTTCGTCAGATTTTAGGTTTGCAATTTGTTTACTTTTCGATTTTTCGATTATTTTACTTTCCAGTTTTTTGATTTTTGAATCGTCGAGTTTTAGAGTTTTCAATATTATGAATTTTCGAATTTTCGGTTTTCCTATTTTTCGATTTTTGATTTTTCCATTTTTCGGTTTTTTGATTTTTCAATTCTCGGTTTTTCAATCTTGCAAATTTTCGATTTTTCAGATTTGTGAATTTCCAGTTTTTCGATCGACCTACGTATTAGATTCATTGAATTTTCGATTTTCGGTTTTTCCATTTTTAGATTTTTTATTTTCCAGTTTTGCATTTTCAGATTTTCTGTTTTTCGCATATCTGATTTATCAAATTTTCGATTTTTCGATATTTGATTTTCGAATTTTCGATTGTTCAGTTTTCCATTTTTGAGCTTTTAGACTTCAATTTTTTTACTTTTCGATTTTTCGAGTATTTGTTTCATCGAATTTTCGATTTTTCGAGTTTTCGATTTTCGATTTTTCGGTTTTTCCATTTTCCGATTTTCGATTTTCCATGTTTAGATATTTTTCGATTTTTTTTATTTTTCGATTGTTCTGTTCGTCAGTTTTGAGACTTTGCAATTTTTACTTTTCCACTTTTCTATTATTTTAGTTTCGGATTATTCGATTTTTGAATTTTCGTTTTTTTTTTCATTTTTCGAATTCCGATTTTTTCATTTTTCGATTTTTTGGTTTTTTAATTTGTCGATTCTCGATATTCCGATTTTCGATTTTTCGATTTTCCAATCTTCGATTTTTCAGTTTCCAGTTTTCGATTTTCCACTTTTTGATTTTACGATTTTTCGGTTTTTCTGTTCCTCAGTTTTTAGGCTTTGCAATTTGTTTACTTTTCGATTTTTCGATTATTTTACTTTCCATTTTTAGATTTTTTATTTTCCAGTTTTGCATTTTCAGATTTTCTGTTTTTCGCATATCTGGTTTATCAAATTTTCGATTTTTCTATATTTGATTTTCGAATTTTCGATTGTTCGGTTTTCCATTTTTCAGCTTTTAGACTTCAATTTTTTTACTTTTCGATTTTCCAAACTTTCGAGTTTCAATTTTCAGTTTTTTGATTTTTCGATTTTCTTTTTAAATCTTCGAATTTTTCGGATTTGATTTTTCGAATTTTTGATTTTTAATTTTTCCGTTCTTCGGTTATTGGACTTCAATTTTCTTTCTTTTAAATTTTTCGATATTCGATTTTCCGCTTTTCAGAATTTTCGATTTTCAGTTTTCAGACTTTCGATGATTGGAATTTTGGATTTTTCAGTTTTATGATTTTTCGATTTTTAGAAAATTTGAGTAGTCGAATTTTCGATTTTTCAATTCATCGATTTTTCCATGTTCAATTTTTCAATTTAAATTTTGCGATTTTCAATTTGTCCATTGTCGATTTTTAGAATTTTCGGTTTTTCAATTTTTCCATTCTCAACTGTTAGACTTCAATTTTGTTACTTTCCGATTTTTTAGTTTTCGATTTTTAAATTTTCATAATTTTCATGTTTCTTTATTCAGATTTTCCATTTTCCACTTTTTCGATTTTAGATTTTTCGAATTTTTGTTGTTCCAATTTTTTGCTTTTTCGATTTTTCCGTTCGTTTCAGTTTTTAGGCTTTTTTTTTACTTTATATATTTTGATTATTTTAAATTCCGATTTTTTTTATTTTTGTTTTTGATTTTTTTAATTTTCAATATTACAAATTTTTGACTTCTCGATTTTTTGGTTTTCCCGTTTTTCAATTTTAGATTTTTCGATTTTTGAGGTTTGTGAATTTCCACTTTTCGATAGACCTAGGTATTTGATTCATTGAATTTGCGATTTTTTGATTAGCCATTTTTAGATTTTCGATTTTTACGATTTGTATTTTTCGATTTTCTGTTTTTTGCATTAGTGAATTTCAGTTTTTCCGATTTTTGATTATGCGCATATTTGATTAATCAAATTTTCGAAAAAGTTACCATGCTTACAAAAACTTTAAAACATCTACAATATTTCAAAGTATTCAGTTTTGCTATTCTTGATTTCTTCAATAAAATTAATTGACTCAGCCATTAACTTTTTTGAGACATCCTGTATAACCAAATCTAAAAAAATATTAATGCAGTGATAAATCACAAGTATACAACTCATCATATTTTATACATTTAAGATAGGATTTATTCTGCAAAATTTTGAGGTGACGTCATAAATTTTTTAGAGGGGATAAGCAAATATATTTTAATTAAAAATGTATCATGTTTATCATGATTTTAAAACATCTGCAAGATTTCAAAGTATTCGATTTTGCAAATTCAAAATTAAATTGCAAAATATTGTTTTATAGTTTTGATTTTTTTTCTAAAAATCTGGACGTTTTGGATAAAAACTCAACACGGAGTCATAAACTACATGTGTAGGACTATGTTACTGTATACAATTTAAAACCCATTTACTATGCATAAATTTGAAGTGACGTCATCACATTATTGGTGGGGATGATTAGACAAATTTAATAATTTTGCGACATTTATGAAAAAAATATCAGTTAACAAAAATGGCACGTTTTTATTATTATGCCAATTACATGTCACTCAACGACAATATCGTTTTTTTAAGAGTATTTTATTTGAAAAAGTGATGAAATTTTTTATACGAAAGATGTTAGAAAGCAAAATAATTCATGTCCGGACCATCGTTACTCACGAACGAAAGTGACCATTATTTTATGGGAACAACTACCTAGGTGGCCATAAATTCTTATCCTGTTGACCAATAAATGAATTGAATAGTTATTATAAACCTTATCCATCCCAATATAAGTTAACATTGTTTGTGATGGTTACGTTTCGTACTTGGAATAATTTAATAATAATAATAATGTTTATTAACATTATGGTAATATTTATCCACCCTCAAATTTAGGTTGGCACAATGATTCTTTTAAATTAAGTACCATATTCGAATGATGGTTTTCATGACACCAAATTTAGTGGTAAAATCGAATTTTTTTTGTGATTTTTGAGTCACCTAATTTCTTGATAAATCCTTAAATGATAACCAAAATTAGTTTATTCACCCCCACCATCAATTTCATGACGTTTCTTCAAAATTTTGACATGTTTGAAAAAAAATCAATACTCTACTCGTAAATCAGAAAATTTGTCTCTGAAATCAGGTAATTTGTGTCTTAATAAAACACCCCACTTCTTACAGATTCGTGTATTTCAAAAATAAAACAAATCCTACAAAATATTTTAGTATAAAATATGATCATTTTGTAGTTTTATATACACATATCGTGTACTTTAATACATAGAGTTTTCGCACAACACAAAAAGAATAATAAGATGAACTATATCTACAAGACACATACTAAAAAAAACTAAATTATCTCGACTCGGGCTTATTTTTCGGAGGTTTAAACATCTTGATCTTTTTGCCCGATTTTGCCGACTTTGATTTCGAATTAGCCTGAAACGACTGCCAGCTCTCAACTCTGTTCTGTCTCGATTCCTGCAAAACAAAAGAATTTTAACACAACGCCACCTCAACGAACCCCAGTACCTCAAAATTCTTCTGCCACTCCTTCTGCGCTTTCACATTTTCCTCTTCCTCAATTTCCTGTTCCCTTTTTCTCTTTCTCTCTTCCTGATCCCTTTCCGCTAATTCTCGTCGTTTCCTTTCCATATCTGCAAACAGTTTCATTGTGAGAACATAAACCGCATGTTTGTATTTATCAGGATCATCCTCTGGGATTCTGTCCTTTCCTTCTTTTTTAAATTTCTTTCGCTTCTCGGCAAGCTACAAACATTTTCAATACAAAATTGTCTCATCTGATAAGCTCTCGCACCCCTAGTAAGCTGTGGGTCGTTCCACGAATTACATTAAAATTTGGTGACAGATGCGATATTTTAAAAATTTGAATTTGGCGCTCAGTGACGTCACACTTATCCCGGCCATGCGCCGACCTCTGCGTAATGAAGCAACCATGCAGTGTCAATCAACCTTGGCGATTTCGCTATTTTTAAGTGTCACAAAAATGTAAAAATCGTTAAACCAAACAAATGTGGGATTTAGAGGTGGCGATGCAGTCCATATTCACTTAAAAAACGTCATTCTAAAAATAAAAAATAGTGTTTTTTAGGGCTATTTTTGGGCGAAGTAAAAATATTTTAGCTAAGTGAGGAAACATCTGTCACCGCATTCATCACAGTGTTTTGGCGCAAATTCGTGGAACAACCCCTTGACCCTGCACACTCGATACTCACCATTATGTCTGTTCTACCCTTAGCCTCCTCGATTATATCAAGACACTTTTTCCGCGTCTCTCCGCTCTCTAGTGTCTTCCAGGCCTTGCTCACGGCTTCGAAGGCCTGCTGTGCCCGTTCTGAGTCCTCCTGGTTCTTATCAGGATGTACCAGAAACGAGAGTTTTCGATACTGTTTCTTTATGTCCTCAATGGGTGTTTCTGGTTCCACTTGTAATACTTCAAACGGGTTTAAATTGAAATACGTTGATCCTGGACGCAATAATCTGTCCATTTGTTGCTTAGGTGTGAAGACCGAGTCGCGCTTTTCGATTTCTTTGACCTAAAATTGGCACAACAATAAGATCGTTCTTAACCCAAACATACTAACCTCAGTGTAAAAGTCGTCGAATTTTTTGTCTGGTTCGGGGGCTTTTGATGCCATTTTTGCGTAGTTGAGTTTATTATTGTACAACTGAGTTTGTTGATATTTTTATGATGGAGGAAAACGTCCTTTTTGACGCATGTTGTGATTGTTTTCTGCACAGACTGTCACTGTAAAACAGGCATCTGTATTAGCGATGAGTGAGTACGAAGGAACGTGTGCAGAGGGCGCCACGATTTAAACTTCAAACTAAGTGGCGGGATTTTCGATTTCGGTGACATGTCACTCGAGGAGCTGCGACTTCGTAAACCTGTTGCGCCGTTATATTAAAACTCTGCAGCAATTAATAACTAACATTTATTTATATTCCTATATTAAGTACAGTGTGGATATTCTGATAAGGCCGATAACAGCTGATAACTAAGTACACTTAACAATATTAATGTAGCTTTAGAGGTCAAATAAAAACGATGATACTGGAGGCCAGACATGCGAGTAAATTATCGTCGTTTTATTCGTCATTATTGTCTGGATTTTAAAACGAAATTAATTACCGCGGTCGCAAATCCGTTTTTGCGTTTTTATTTACATAAATTATGCAAAGCCGGTCACTTTCGGCGAGGTTGGCTGGAGGTGCATTTTGGAATATTGTTTCTAGTGGGATAGGTCGGAGGCGGTTTTCGTAAAATGCACGAGTTTTATCTTTCTTTGCGTCCGACGATTGTTGAGAGCAAAGTGCATGTTTGTGGAGATGAATTTAACGGAGAGTTTGTGGTTTCGGGGCCATTAAGGGCTTATTTTGGCGGTGGGTTTTATTTTGGCGCGATAAAGGAGTTATTGGGTATTAGGTTAAGAAAAACAAGGAAACGACCGAGGGAAGGGCTGGTTATTACGCTAGTTTTGGTTTTATTTTACTGATTATAATAAAATTGAATCTATAAAAAGATAAGAGTGGATTGTACCGGAGCAAATATTTTGATTGGCTTTTAGTTTCTTATTAGTGCAGTGTGGCCAACTTTAAGAGAAATAACTGAAAATCTTATTTTTTTGGTTCGTTATTCTGATTTAAATATCTAGTTTGAGTCTTACCAGATCTATTACCACAGATTCCTTTTATGAAGTTGTGTTTAAATATGCTGAGACTTTTGCCGTAATTTAAAGGGGTTGTAGAAGAAAAGTGAAAAATTTAAGTTGATTGCTACAAAAATTTACCATTTTAGACAAATAAGTCTACACATATTAAGAAAGAAAGGCAAAATATCAACCCCGCCCACCCACCCAGTCTCTATTGTGGTGTTTTTTTTTTTATTCGACGTCAGCCAAAGGGGCGGAGCTTAACTGCAAAATCCTTTTTTCTCCACGAGAAATTAAAAACATGTTTTTGAGTATCGTCTTGTTCAAAGAATACCATGTATATTAGGAAAAATATAAAACCAAAGATTAGGCTCCACCCATACCCGCCGCGATCTCAATTCTCAATTGTGATGAATTTTTCATTCGTTGTCAGATCGCTAATCCGAACACACCTTTTCCCCAATTAATTCGGATTATCGATATTATACTGTATTAAGAAAAAAGGCAAAATATAAGCCCCGCCCACCCGCCCTATGCCAATTGTGGCGATTTTTTTTTATCGTCGAAAACCAAAAGAGCGAAATTTAATTACAAAATCGTTATTATTGCTCTACAAGAAATGTTGTTGAGTATCGTATTACCCAAAGAAAGATTAAGAAAAAAATAAAGCCAAAGATTAAGCCCCACCTATACCTGCCCTGATCCAAATAGTAATAAAGTTTTTATTTGTTGACAGACGTAGGGGCGGAGCCTAAATACAAAATCCATATTTCCTTACAAAAATTTACCATGTTAAACGTGTTTTGAGTTTCTAAGAAAAAAAAAATCATCACAATTGAGATCGGGGGGGTGGGCGGGGTTTATATTTTGTCTTTGTTTCTTAAGATACATAGTATTCTTTGAACAACACGATACTCAAAAACATGTTTATAATTTCTTGTAAAGAAATAAGTATTTTGCAGTTAAGCTCCGCCCCCTTGGTTCACGGCAAATAAAATAATCATCACAATTGAGACAGGGTGGGTGGGCGGGCTTCCATTTTGTATTTTTGTTTTAATATGTGTAGACTTCTTTTCACAACATGAAACTTAAAACATGTTTAAAATGGAAAATTTGTATAAGGAAATATCGATTTTGCAATTAGGCTCCGCCCCATGATTGCAAAATTCATATTTCCAAAATGTACCATTTTAACCATGTCGTAAGTTTCTTGTTGTGAAAAGATGGCTATGTATATTAAGAAAAAACAGGCAAAATATAAGCCCCGCCTACCCGCCCTATCTTAATTCTGATGATTGTTTTATTAGTCGTAAGCCGAGGGGCAGGGCTTAATTGTGAAACACTTATTTTTTTAAAAGAAATTACCATGTGAAATATGTTCTTAAGTAATGGTGTTATACAAAGAAAACTAAATGTATTAATTAAAAAAGAAAACCAAAAGAGAAACCCCACCCATCCGTCTCGATCTCAATAGTGATGAATTTTTCATTCATTGTCAGACCTAGGGGCGGAGCTTAAACATGTTTTAGGTTTGTTGTCGTGAAAGGATGACTAGAAATAGGTATTAAGAAAAAAAGGGAAAAGGTAAGCCCGCCCTCCCACCCTATCTCAATTGGGATAAATTTTTTATTTGTTGTGAGCCAAGAGGACGGAGCTTAACTGCAAAATCCTTATTTCTCGACGAGAAATTAAAAACATATTTTTGAGTATCGTGTTGTTCAAAGAATACTAAGTATATTAAGAAAAAAATAAAACCAAAGATTAGACTCCACCTATACCCATCCCGTTCTCAGTTCTCAACTCTGATGAACGTTTTATTCGTTGTCAGATCGAGGGGCGGGGCTTAATTGCAAAATCTATATTTGTCGACAAGAATTTACCATTTTTAACATATTTTAAGTTTCTTGTTCTGATAAGACGACTACGTATATTAAGAAAAGTGGCAAAATATAAGCCCCGCCCACCCGCCCTATCTCAATTGTGACGATTTTTTTTATTCGGCGTGAGCCAAGAGGGCGGAGCTTAACTGCAAAATCCTTATTTCTCTACGAGAAATTAAAAACATGTTATTGAGTATTATGTTGTTCGAAGAATACTACGTATATTAAGAAAAAAATAAAACCAAAGATTAGACTCCACCTATACCCATCCCGTTCTCAGTTCTCAACTCTGATGAACGTTTTATTCGTTGTCAGATCGAGGGGCGGGGCTTAATTGCAAGATCCATATTTATCGACAAGAATTTACCAATTTAAACATGTTTTAAGTTTCTTGTTCTGAAAAGACGACTACGTATGTTAAGACAAAAGGCAAAATATAAGCCCCGCCCACCGCCCTATCTCAATTGTGACGATTGTTTTTATTCGTCGTGAGCCAAGAGGGTGGAGCTTAACTGCAAAATTCTTCTTTCTCTATGAGAGATTAAAAAGATGTTTTTGAGTATCGTGTTATTCAAAGAATATTATGTATATTAAGAAAAAAATAAAACCGAAGATTAGACCCCACCCATACCGACCCCAATCTCAATTCTCAGTTGTGATGAATTTTTCATTCGTTGTCAGATCGAGGGGCGGAGCTTAATTGCCACAATTGTCGACAAGAATTTACCATTTTTAACATGTTTTAAGTTTCTTGGTCTGAAAAAACGACTACGTATATTAAGAAAAGTGGCAAAATATAAACCCCGCCCACCCGCCCTATCTCAATTGTGAAAATTTTTTTATTCATCGTGAGCCAAGAGGGCGGAGCTTAACTGCAAAATCCTTGTTTTTCTACTAGAAATTAAAAACATGTTTTTGAGTACCGTGTTGTTCAAAGAATACTATGTATGTATATTAAGAAAAAAATAAAACAAAAAATTAGACTCCACACATACCCACCTCGTTTTCAATTCTTAATTGGGATGAATTTTTCATTCGTTGTCAGATCAAGGGGCGGGGCTTGATTGCATGATCCACATTTGTCGACAAGAATTTGCCATTTTTAACATGTTTTAAGTTTCTTGTTCTGAAAAAACTACGAATATTAAGAAAAAATACAAAATATAAGCCCCGCCCACCCGCCCCGTCTCAATTGTGACGATTGTTTTTATTCATTGTGAGCCAAGAGGGTGGAGCTTAACTGCAAAATTCTTATTTCTCTATGAGAGATTAAAAACATGTTTTTGAGTATCGTGTTATTCAAAGAATATTATGTATACTAAGAAAAAAATAAAACCGAAGATTAGACCCCACCCATACCCACCCCAATCTCAATTCTCAGTTGTGATGAATTTTTCATTCGTTGTCAGGTCGAGGGGCGGGGCTTAATTGCGAGATCTACATTTTTCGACAAGAATTTACCATTTTTAATATGTTTTAAGTTTCTTGTTCTGAAAAAACTACGAATATTAAGAAAAAATGCAAAATATAAACCCCGCCCACCCGCCCTATCTCTATTGTGACGATTGTTTTTATTCGTCGTGAGCCAAGAGGGTGGAGCTTAACTGCAAAATTCTTATTTCTCTATGAGAGATTAAAAAGATGTTTTTGAGTATCGTATTATTCAAAGAATATTATGTATATTAAGAAAAAAATAAAACCGAAGATTAGACCCCACCCACACCCACCCCAATCTCAATTCTCAGTTGTGATGAATTTTTCATTCGTTGTCAGATCGAGGGGCGGGGTTTAATTGCAAGATCTACATTTTTCGACAAGAATTTACCATTTTTAATATGTTTTAAGTTTCTTGTTCTGAAAAAACTAAGAATATTAAGAAAAAAGGCAAAATATAAACCCCGCCCACCCGCCCTATCTCAATTGTGACGATTGTTTTTATTCGTCGTGAGCCAAGAGGGTAGAGCTTAACTGCAAAATTCTTATTTCTCTATGAGAGATTAAAAACATGTTTTTGAGTATCGTGTTATTCAAAGAATATTATGTATATTAAGAAAAAAATAAAACCGAAGATTAGACCTCACCCATACCCACCCCAATCTCAATTCTCAGTTGTGATGAATTTTTCATTCGTTGTCAGATCGAGGGGCGGGGCTTAATTGCAAGATCCATATTTGTCGACAAGAATTTACCATTTTTAACATGTTTTAAGTTTCTTGTTCTGAAACGACGACTACGTATATTAAGAAAAAAGGCAAAATATAAGCCCCGCCCACCCGCCCTATCTCAATTGTCGTGATATTCAAAAAAAGATTAAGAAAAAAATAAAGCCAAAGATTAAGCCCCACCCATACCTGTCCTGAT